AATTTTCACATCGTGGGAATCCAGGTACAACTATAATATTTTAATATGTTGTATGGATGGATAAGAGCTGTTATCTGGTACAGTATGAAAAATGTACTCCACTTTCTTGAACCTTAGACACGGCGATTTATCGATTTTTTGCCGTTTTTGACACTTTGGGACCAATTTTCTCGGAAATTTGGCAACATAGGAAAAAATTTTACTGAACATTTTTTATTCATTCTTTTACGTACTTTTCAAAAATGTACACAGTTTTTGGATTAAATTGAGTTTTGAATGTGTTAAATGGAAAAAACCCCTAAAAATGGGCCAAAAATGGCAACAATGGGCCATAAGGCCCTTTAAAATTTATCGGAGGCCTTTAGAAAGGCCAGAAACGAAAAGTACGCAAAAAAATACATGAGAATCATGTGCTGGAAGAGTGATAACAGTCGAAAAAGTCGACGAAAATAATTGTTTTTCGAATCCAGGATTTTGGGTTTGAGGCGCTGCTGCGCCCTTGCATGGGCTCCGTTCGGTCTAATATTTGGCACAGAGTCTACCTAAGACTAGCACTTTGAAAATATGAAACATTTAGCAAAATCCAGGTGGGGCCGGAAAAGGCCCAAAACGTTACTCCTCCTTTTAAAGATGAAGGGGCTTCGTTATTTAGTTTCTTTTTAATACTTATAAATCCGCTTCGCGTTGATTTAAAATATGCATACATAAGAAAAGCAAACGAACTGATTCGAGGATGGCTGATCAGTTTCGCAATCTTCAAATGAGAATTTCACTCTCCCTTTTGTTTAAAACGATGCTTTGACAGATCTCTACACCCCTGTTATGCTTTACAAAATTTGGTACCACTGCTGTGATAGCCAAGGCAGCCGTAAGTGAAATCAGTGATGAGCTTCAAGGCTCATTCGATCATTTGCTAAACGTGGCTCATACAGGAAGCTACTTGCACTTATAGAAATCCACTTAACCCTCTCTTCCCCATGTACCTGACCACTGCGTCGGCGCGTCGAGAGAAACAATGGCCCTAATACTTGCGCTTGATTAACCATTTCACCGTCATGCTAGGATTCGTCCAATTTTTCAAACAAATCGTTTTGCGTGTATTTAGCAATTTTTTCCTTACTTTTCGTTAAAACATGAATAAAAAGAGGCCTCATTCATAAAAATCGGCCGAATAGACGAGAAGTTACAGTATTCGAAATCCGAAGAAATCAACAATACCTCAACTTCTCCATACAAAAAATAAAAGGAAGGAAAAAAAAAAGAAATGTATAAATTAAAATTAAATACAATTGACCTCAGAATTTGACAAGCAATTCAGTTATATGATGGAAAAAAAATTGGGAGAGATTACAAAAAATTCGTCTCTTGCAAGAGGCTTCCTTGTCACATTTTGACCTTGAGACAAGGGTCAAATAGTACTCCGTACAATACACGATGTGCCTGAACGAGTTAAACATTTTTTATTTGTCCAAATCGAATATTCTTCATTTTTTTTAACTACAGTGTCTCTTGAGTCGTTTAAGCAAAAAAAAAAAAAAAATTCTGTTGAGATTCTGGAAAATAAAGGCGATTTAAAAGTATTCTGGGGCTGTAATAGCTAAATCACCAGTAGTAAATCCCACAGTATTATTAAAAAGAAATCTACTCCATAGTTTAATGCCTTAGATTCTTGACTACGATTATTTTAAGCACTTAAACATTTATACCACCAATTTTAGCCATGGGGTGATTTCCTGAGAGCCGATAATAACACGAATTTCTCATAGAACCCTTCAAAAATGGCTTGCTTTTTGGGCAGCCGATTCGGCCATCAAACCGGGGTTTAATTGGAAGCTGATAATAACCCAAAGCCCTGAGAAAAATTTTGAGATGAGTATAAGGACGGTTTCTAACTAATGAGGAGAGGCAGGCAAAGCGGCTAAAATCCAATCTAATTTTTGCCGTTTTTCTGTTGAATTGATGTTGCTTCGGACTTCTGACTGTGTCCACACATGGTTACTGTTCAGCATATCGATACATAAGTATTTTTACAAGTAGAATCTAATTTTCACGTCAGGGAGTCGACATATTTCGATTTTATGCGGAAAATTGATGGTTTTCCGGGATTGAAATTACTTGTTATTGTTTCATCGAAAATAAATGCACCCAAAATGACTATAGCATATTAACTTTTACATATTTGCACTTACAAAATTGATTGGTAAATTCAACGAGTGGATACATCGACCTGGTATATCAAGTTTCTGCAATTTTTTACGGCAAATTGGTAGATTTTCGGGATATAGATTGCTTACTTTCAAATCATGAATGAATAAAGCATGGACATGGTTTAACTTTTTAGCATGGAAAGACGTTTAAAATAACAAAATCAAGACATATTTAATGCATTTTCATATACATCCAGTCAATTTCTTTTTAATAATATAACAGGATGTATACTACCGGTGATTTGGGTATATTAGCCCCAAAATACCTTTAAATCGCCCTTTTCTTTCAGGAGTCGACAGAGTTTTTCCTTTCTTTGCTTCAATTATTCCGTAGCACTTTTCTTCAAGAATTGGAAATGATTTTGCTTGAGGCAGATCAAAAAATTTAAACTCGTTCGAATGGTTTTCTACATTCACACGGTCTTGTCACGAGGTGCGTTGGTGACCTCGCAGTGTTGGATCGTGAATTCTCCTGTTGAGCTGCTTACCTATTTTGAAATCTCTGTAAATGAAAACTAATGAGGTTGAAATGTGCGAGTTAATGACGCGCCTTATCAACACATTATGTTGCAGTTCACATCTTGTTTTAACTGCAAATGTTTAGATGTACCAGAAGTCGAACTTCTGCCACGAAAAATCCGACAAATGCAGAAATTGGCATTACTTCACCAAGTCAGATGATACCGCCGGTCCTAAGTTCTGACTAATCAAGCTCCCAATGAAACACATCTAATGGCTCAATCTCTGGTACTAACGGCAATATTAAAATGGAGGGGCAATTGTTTTCCCTTCGGAAACTCGATATTTTGATCATTTAAAAAAAAAAAAATTAAGGCTGAAAGCACGAGAATAAAGAGACCAGTTACTTTCTTACCCTGAGTTCTGTTCTGATTGTTTACTGACAGTTTGAGAATCCTCTTCCTTTTCCTTTTTGTTCAGCAAAGATGCAGATCGTGGGTTGTTGATGAATTTGTGTATTACATATTCAATTAAATCAGACCAGTCCTGGATTTGAGGACAAAATAGTAAGACCAAAATAATTAAATTTACTTTTGTGACACATTTTTGAGGACAAGGAAAAAACCTCTTGTTTATTTACCATAATGAATTTTCAAATAGATAGGTTTTTTTTCCATTCCCTGTGAAACTCAATATTTTGATAATTCAAATGAAAAATTTACCAGCGGTCATTAGGGAGGGGAACAGTTTTGAGAAAAATAATGCTATGACCAGATGGACCTCAACATTAAAAACATAGTTAATTTAGAAAAGTGGAAAGAGTGAAAAAGGAAGAGTTTAAAAAAATTCTTTCTTCTCAAGAAAGAATTTGAAAAAATTTTAATTTGCGGGTTCTATATGAAATTTTGATAGGGTAACATGTTTTGTAGGCCTTCAGTTCTTATCCTGTTAGTCGTCTGTTTAGACATCCCTTTTACATTCAGTTTAAAAGTAACAATAGAAGAATCCTTCGACTCAAGTGCAATTGATTGTTTTTTAAAATTTTATCAGTTCTGCTTAGCATCACCCTTTTCTACATGGTATTCGTAACTTCTAGACAGAATGCAAATCTGCTCTAGTGTTGCGCCCTATTTCCAGAAGAATGGAGTGAAAATACTACCAATGAATAACTCACATCACAGATTTGAAAAGCCATTTGCCAAATTTGAGAGAATGTTTTCAAAATAGTGGGTTGAAAAAGCACGTCTATTCGGTCCAGATCTCCAGCAACATGATGCATCATGTTAAAAATACAGTTATTGATGGTTGATCCGTTATCTTTAAAGTTTTCTAGCAACAGTCCATAGCATGACATTACTTCCTTTGAGGCAAAACTGAAAAACAGAAATAAAGGTAAATCCATTAACATATGAGCGCATATGATGAGCTCTCTCTTCTCTTACAGTATGAGCAAATATTAATTTTTACTTAAATTTTATCATTCTAGTCTCCCTGCCTTAATGATACGAGTGCTAAGAGTGGACTCTACGACTGAATGCAGCTAAAGGATGCAGCTCTGTTTTTAGGGATATTTTTCAAATTGCAATGTGTAAGGTACTTAGAATATTTTGTTGTCTTCCTCATCAGATTTTAGTTCCTACCATCAGTTTTCAATAAATGGAGGCTGGTAATGACTAAAATATAATAGACCAACAATGCATTTCAGTTCTTAGTCATTTTTCTAGAATTTTCCTATTACCAAATTCTTCTGATTTTGGAAACAGAGGGAAAAATTATTCTTTGAAAATCAGTTACCAAGCTACACTCATTCATTTATGTCTGCTGAGCTGGTGTATCTAAATCCACTTCCACCATCTGTTATTACAATGTTAAGAAATTTTGACTCCTAAAAATGAGACACTTCTTGGCAAGAGACTCTGGTTCCATAGAATCAAAGACGGTCTACACAAAAGGGTGAATTTACCAAGCTAAGACAAACAGACTGCATCATCCGTAAAAAAAAAAAAAAAAAAAAAAAAAAAAAAAAAAAAAAAAAACTGACATAATTACTTACTTCTTGACGTGATCCATTAAATCAATATTGCCACCATCCTGAGAGGAATCATCAATGAAGGAGAGCAAGAGGTGATTTGTGACAATTATATCGCTCAGAAACTGCTTGCTCTGAAGCTTTGGGTCGAACAATCGAAGTAATAAGAGAAATAATCCTTTTAAATTATCTGTTTTACTAATTCGTCCTGTTAGAAACACCATCAAAAATAATTTCTTTAGTACAATAAAGTTACGAAAACTGGCATCAAAGCCAAAAAGTATTTTGGTTTTCCCGTTTTTAGGGTGATGCGCGAACATTCATCGACCAAGGGCAACTCCTCTACCTATCATTCTATTTAGTTATAGGCATATGTTCTTATCACTAAATTTTACTTAATTAATGCCGATTACTTAATGAAAGTCATTGTGTGTTTCGTTCCTCTCACGTCCTACTCATGATCAAACGATTAATCTAACAAGAAACAAATATTTTCGGCGGATTTTAAGTGAACCTGGTGATCACAAGGTGCTCATATCAAGCGATGGTCTTCAAACCTTGAGGAATACATAAACATGGTTTGCAGAGTGCTATTTTATAAGATATGAGAAATAATTGCTTTACACAGTGGTATTTCATAAGATGTGAGAAATAATTGGTTTGCAGAGCGATATTTTATAAAATTTGAAAAATAATCAACAGCTGGCTAAAATACGCCATACAAATAAATGAATATACCACGAGAACTCGGAAAAAGCCGCAAGATACATTGAACAAAACAGTAACTTACGATAGAGGTGCGTAACTATTTTTTTATCCTCTTCCAATAAATGTGCACAGTCCTTATAGAAATTGATCGCTTGCAATACTTCTGATATGGCAATGACAACCTAAAAATATGGATCGTTCACATAACAATAATGAAGCAGGGATGGATCATCGGAAAAGGTTCAAATTTAAGCATTCTGTTCATTTTCTGCTTCAAAATTCGAGTAGAACTTGATTCGCACAACGAAAATTACTGAAATTACCTCCCGACCATGATATTTACGATTGTATTTAGCGTTAGTTACGATAAAGGGGTACGTGCAAAACTGGCCACTTCACTCTCATGGTGGATACCTGTGAGACTTGCTTTAGTCATCCACTTATCGATGCCGCATCTGTTCCCAAAAGTTTTAAGCCCCTAAAAATTTTGGAGCATTGCGGCGGAAGATTTAGAATCGCCAAACGCAGATGTTTTGCACAAAAACTAAGACATTTTGCGGAAAGCTGTATAAAGGAGCGTTTTCAGCGTGATAAAAGCTTTCAGAAAATGGGTAACATCATAGGCTTCAGTCAATTTAGGCTTGAGTTATCGCCTCTAGAGCGCCAAAACGCTATATAAAGATCCCCCTTTTCCGCCTCCGGGCCAATTTCTGAAAGTGCCAATTTTAAATTAGCAGAAAACTGATGTTTTTCCTGACTCTCTGCAGCCTTCCCTAGCTCTTTACCGTGCACTCAGGAAATTATATGGTCGCAAGTTATGGGAGAGGAAAGATGCAAAAGCCGAGAATTTGGCTATTTCATGGTTCTCTCGCATGCAAGATGAGTCTCGCTACACAGTGTTGCCATATCTACTCTAGCTTGTGCCACAATGCATTTCTTTACTGCAAAAATGGGTAAATAATAGCGATATAAATTACTGTCGAAGAATAAATATGCAGAGAAAATCTAGAAACCGTGCTGAAACATAACTGCATTATGTAAGATCTAGTGGTGGAGCACGCGCTCAGTTTAGATATGGTGGACACATTGCCAGCACTACAAATCCAGCTGAGCTAAACAAAGCCACGCGCGTAGTTTGATGTAGCCGATTTTCTCGACTTTTGCTCCTTTCCACTCTCATAACTCGCGACCATATTTCCCCAGTAAACGGTAACAAGCTACAGTGGCTGGCATTTTCGGGAATCAGCCCGGACGTAAAAAAAGGGGGGGGGGTGTCTTTTGTTAGCGTTTGGGCGCTTCGAAGGTGATAACTCTAGCCTAAGTTGACAAACGTCTATAATGTTACCCATTCTCTGAAAACTCTCGTCACGCTAAAATCGCTCGTATAGACCTTTTTCCGTAAAATGTCTTAGTTTTGGAGCAAAATATTCACGAAAATTTTGCAGATTCTTAACTTTGACTGTCTCCCCCCCCCCCCCCCCCCCCCCCCCCCCCCCCCCCCCCCCCCCNGCTTGAAACTTTGGGATTAGACGAGCCACCATTTGGTGGATGAAAAGTGCAAGTTTCAAAGGTATCCGCCACGAGTTTGAAAGGCCCATTTGCAAGTAGCCCTTAGAATTCCCCGCTCACATGAAAAACCTGAATAAGCAGCGCTTGAATAATGAGCGCAAGAAATGATGTTGGCAGATTTCTCCATTGAGCAGAGTTCCATCCCTGTCACATGTTGTTTAAAGTGTAAATAACGTGCATCAGCCGCGCGAAAGCACTGACATTGAGGTTGTCATAATTTCATTCTGCAAATACTGTCATGCCAATGTTTAGTAAGCAATTAAACTCAGAAGATGATGGTTTTTCCATAAGTGGGAAATTTGAATAAATGCATCAAAGAACGTTCATATCTTTGTTAGGAGTCTCTTTCAGTAATTTCGGTAAAAATTGTTTTCTAAGTTAAATTTTGATCAGAAAACATGCAACGTAATGCTGAAAGCCTTCTGTCTGTTGAACAATTAAACTCCTTTCCAGGGCTTTAAGATAATGACAATTGAGCTGGAAATAATTCAAACTGAACAGAAAAATTAAAGAAATAAAATGTAAGATGAACAATATAATGACAGTATCTGATGTAAACGGTTTTAATTGTGCAATACTACTTATTCATGAATGAGACATAAAGATGAGGAGTACAAAAGGGTCATTTTTGCACCTCCTGGATTCTTCTTGAACTTGGTTTGTTGATTACTAATAGTTGAGCCCCTCTTTTCCTAAGTTGGTAATACCCCCCCCCTCCCATAAAATGTGGAGAGGCACTAAAAAGTTGAAAGCCTGTATGCCTCAACGCCTGTTACAGAAAAGCATGCATTGAGATTCAGGTACCACTGAGAAATTGTAAAAAAATGAAAACTTTACCGCTTTGCTCCCTACCCTTTAACCCTTTCAATACCAGATTAGATTTTGCGTGCTCATGCCCCACAACTGAGACTAATTGTTGTGCAAATAAATCAAAGCTCACTCTGTTGGGCAGTATTTGAAGTCATAGTTTAGATCCTCCTTAACATAAAGAGCTACAAATGTGAATAATTCAGAGTTTAAGTTGTTAAATGGTGGTGGAAATGTTGCAGGAAGGATATGGTTTCTCTGAACGCAGAAGCTGCTTTCGTGGGTTCGGGGTGATTAAAGGATCAACAATCCTGACAGAGCTAAGATTTTTCATAGGCATTAGGGCAACAGTACAACAACTGAGCAAAGTTTCTTTTATGACTGGAGGGAAGGCCAACGTTGTCCGTTCTTGAACAACTTCGTTATTCCTTCAAAACTTTAAAGGACTCTGTTAGAGTATGTCTGATTAATTAGGTATGCTTCTCACCAGATGTAAACGATGAAAACACGAGTCTAAATTATTATCTGGACACACTTTTAGAGCTTCAAGTTCTTCACACAAGGTTACGCCTTCAAACGTCAGATAGGAGACAGTATTGAAAGAGACCACTGAACTATAAAACAAAATTCAAAATTTTTATCCAATAAAAATTACAAAAAAAAGGAATTCATTGAGGACACAGCCTGTGCCATCCTATATTAACAGATAGTATTTTTAGTGTTTGCAGGAAATTTTTGAATCTTTGGGCTCATTGGTAAGGGCAGGGAGGATTCACAGCTCAAGGGAGTGTATTACTAACAGGAAAAATCTTGCCAAATCGTAACCTTTTGGTAAGTGTACTTTTGAAGTTTACAGATTTACCTCATAGGGTGCGTTGCTGGCGAGTGTACTATTGGTATATGTACCGTTCAATTCTACCGTTCCGACAGATTTTCCTCCCGGCCGATCAGCTAGTGTCGTCGCATGCGATTCATGTGAGCCCAGGCTCAAATTCGGCTCAACCCGTTTTATTTTTATTGTTAAAATGATTATTCTTTGATTTTAGTAAGTTTCCAAACCTTCCATCACATTGCTCCGTTTTCCTTTTCGCAACTTATGAGCTTTCATTGGCGACTTTCAGACTACATTAGCCACTTAGGGATGACGTTAGCGACTTTAAGTTGTCTGAGATGAAGTAAGGTAAGATTAAAAATTAGTTTCAAATCAGGCAGAATATTAATAAAAGACGCATTCTAAAAATTACATTAAGAATAAAATAAATAGCAATTACAGAATTATCGGTCCACCTTACAGAAGTAAGGAAAGGATGGGAAATGAAGACAGAGTGGTGAAAAGTACATTTAATGATCCTTGTAGACCGATAAAATTGAAGGACCTTCCACGTGTACCTCTCTCGGTACGTTCCGTAAAGTACGCTTCAGGCCACTGTGAAATTTATAAATGTTTCGTTCGGATTTTGCTCATTAGGCCCACTCCTTAAGGGAGCAGGATACGATACATGAATACACTCTCTATTAGCAAAGCCCCGAAACATTACAATTAGTTCCTTTCTACACTGACAGGAACGCATGGTGCCTAGACCGGGAAAATACTGTAGTGGATTCGGTTAAAGACCTGCGAGGTCTTTACCGATCCACTTGGAGAGAGCTGGTTTGGGGACGTGGCAAGTCGTGATATATCGAGGATTCCCAAGTCAATGACAGGGTCAGACGTGTTAGATACGAGTTTTTGAGACGCGTTTGTTTATGTTCCACGCGTGGAGCTTGCGGCGAGAGTGACCCTGGCTTTCAGCGATTCAGAAGTCGGAGTTGGGCACGGAAGCTTCGGGCGTTGGCATGAAAGCTCGCAGAGGCCGCTCGTACGGGGTTAGTCGGCGTGAGGTTTCAAGACCCGAGACAATCCGGTCTAGCCCCTGTTAGAGCAGCTAGAAGTAGTCAAAGAATAAAGCGTAAATTGTACCCATAAAAGTGCGGTTCCTTCCCCCCCCCCCATTGCACAGTGGGGAAAACGACCAATCTAGCCGCTCAAAAGTCGTAATTTCAAGTGTTTGGTAGAAAGCTACCAGAGGCTGCATTTCATTCTCAGATATCCACTGACACCAAATCAGTGATTAAATTCACCAGAATCTTGTTTGTTATCAAAAAATTGATGATGAACCGTGAGCGTAAACAGGTAAGACTGGAAGCCCAGATGGAAGACGCAACAAATGCGTTCCGTACTGATGGTGTTCACGCAACAGGTTATGCAATTAATGGTTTTCCAGCATAGCAGATTCCCTGAGAAGTAAGTCAAATCATTTATTTTATTTCCTCATCATTTTTTCTTATAGTTTCTATTTCTTTAACACCTGCTCTGAAAAATCTGTGTTTTTAAACTTCAGAGGATTGGAATGTATCAAATACCGGTGAATACCAATATCAGACTTGTACTAGGTGACGCAGAATTTCATGTAGTTTCATAATCTGAAGAGATATTTTGCGGTTTTTTGCGGTTTAAAGAGATAAACGAAGATTAATGGCCCGGCGTCGAGGCGTTCTTGATGCACTAGGCGCGGCGCACATTGGTTCCAGAGCCAGATCTAGGCGGCATTAATTGGAGTATCACCTTTGTTGGCATGCAATACATGTTTTTATATGTTTTTTGGGTCGCTGATCACGAATCTGAAGTCAGTTTTACTCCATCATTAACTAAAACATGGTAAATTTTCGAAAAATAGCAAATTCACGCTCAAATACCGGAATAATTATTTGACAATTTGCCTTGGAGCTTGAGCTATAATACATTTGACTAAATTAATGATTAATTATCCAAAACGACCAACGATTTTACTATTCTTCTTTTTTGGATGGTTATTTGAGAAGGGAGGAAGGGGGGGTTGCCACATTGAATAACTGAACAAAGTATACCTGCATGAAATTAACACGATCTGTTTTCGGAATCTACTTCCATAATTTTGAGGTATAAGAAATGGCAGGATGAAAATAAAGTAAAAAGCATCCTAATAATACTATTGGACAGGGAGAAAAGGCATTGAACGTGTCGGACACTGGTCCGTTGTTTTTTTTAAATTAAAGAGGTTGTAATGTATTTTGTATTTTTTTTTTCTTTTTCTTTTTTTTTTAAGTACCTACGAATAATTAAGAAGAGCAAGAGTCAATTTTCGTCCGAAATTCAAGAAATATATTCAAATTCAAAATTCATGCATATTAAAATGTACAACAACTAAATCCCATATAAATTTGATGAATAATTAACATCATGAACACATTTAGCAATCAGAATAAGTCACAAAAAATTACATTGAAAGAAAAATTTCACTGGCTACGAGAGGAGGTGAATATTCTTGCGGGTAATTATCACTTTTTATAGATTCAGACAATGGTATGCCAAAAAAAGTTGGTAAAAGTCGCAGCTTTTGTGATTTAGTCGCAGCTTTGTTGCATTTATATTTTTTTCTTTTTTTCCTTTTCATTGTTATAATTATTGTTTAAGTTATTCTTAAATTATTCTTATTTGTTATTTATTGTTATTGGTTGTTTATAAAATTATTTAGTTATAATGCTATAATTTCTATCTTTTCTTTCTTTTTCTCCATTAATTTTTCGATTCTTCTTTATTTCTTTTTTCCTCTTCTTTTCTCATGCTGTTTCAGTGTTTGATTTCATTGTCTTTTCACAATTCAAAAAGTATCTTAGTATTAAAAAAACGCCTGTATCGATTAAAATAAATGTTATTGTCTTGTAAACTGAATAGATCTACTAATTTTTAATTTCATATTTTTACTGTACGTAACATTCAACTTTTCAGTGTACAATGCCATTAAGTGATGTTATGATTGATGAGATTGTTTTGAAAGAAGTGTAACGCAACACAGCAAATCAGATAATTAAGAAAAATTCACGTAAAGTGAACCAAAAGTAGGTGTAAAAAGATGGTCCACCAAGCTCTTTGGATTGGGCCATTGTGCGGCGAAAATATAGCCCAAGGGGGGTTGACAAAATATTTTCTTGCCTTAATTTGGGTCCCCCTATCCTTTGGCTACATTTTTAACCCACAAAGCACAAATAAAAATCAAGAGCGTTGACACAGGGACTTCTGAGCAGCTAGATTGGCGTTTTTCCCCACTGTGCATTGGGTTCCCACTACAATACGGGATTCATCAGAGAATGAAACATTCCAAGTAAAATCAGGAAAAAATTAAGGAATCCGTCCCAAAAACTGGAAATCTCTCCTTCTAACGTTTAGAGACTAATTTAATGTCTCCCTTTAACTTCATTTGAATTTTCTACAGGTTATCTTACTAGTACTGTCATTTGCCGAACATTTATGAAAGTGATAATGAGTTCAAGACTACAAAAATAAATTGTGATAAGGTAATTTTAAGTACCTATTGTTATTAAGGTTTGAATTATGGCACCTGAGCTGCTATTATTGACCTCTTATACCTTCAAATCATTGGAATAATAGATGATGTTTCATTGACCAGATAGTATAAACATAAGAGAGGCATTCAGAAGTAATAATTTGAATGTGCGCTAAACAAACAGCTTGGAGTATAAAAAAAAAATAAATATTCATAAATGGAACTCCAGAGAGTTCTATCGTTTTCCCACAAGAAAATCCTGGCAAAACGGGAGAAAACTTAAGTTCTTTATCAGGGGATGAGCTTTTGGAAATCAACCTGCTAAAAACTTCCCAAGGGAATGGACGCGGCATGCTGTGTGCTCTAACGGGAATGACACGGGATCTTGTGTACTTCCATAGCAAAATTGGCCTTGGGGCGACAAATTAAACCCCCTCTCCCTCATCCTTGCCTTGACCGATCTGAATTCTTAGTATGTTTTCACCTGGTATAAGATGTGACTTTTCTGAAATTTTCATGCCCATACACAATTTTTTGCCCCCGTGGCAGCGTTGCCAAGTTGCGGACTCCAAAATATCGAATTTGATGATAAAATGAAGGTTTCGAAGTGTGATTTCCGTTCAAAATCAAAAATTCAAATCGTAGGTTGTAGTAGGGTACTGCCTGATGAGTTTTTGGCCAATTTCGAAATAGGTTGTCGGAGCTCCTCGAAAAATAATCGCATTTTTGTGGTTTTTTAAGGGTAAAATAGCACACTGGGCAGGGAGCGACAAATTAAACCTCTTCTTTTTCATCCTTGCCGGGACCGATCTGAACTTTTAGTGTATATTAACCTGGTATAAGATGTGACTTTTCTGAAATTTTCATGCCCATACAAACTTTTTTGCCCCCGCAGCAGCGATTGGGAGAAAGTTCTGAAATTCAACTTTCTGTTGATGGAGTAGATTTAAGAACTTTCTGTCAACCCAAACTGCTCGCTTTTCCCCGAATCTTCCCTTTATCCGGCCTCTTTTGTTGAATTAGCTGCACCCATCAAGTGAGTAATGGCGTAATATTCATAGTGCCTAAATGAATAGAGTATTGAAGAACCGTACCGAACTTTCTCCCACCCCCCAAACCTTATCCCTGTTGCCGTCAATACATTGAACATTCTATCTAAAACCTTGCCCCCCGAATTTTTCCCAAAAACATGAAAAATTAAAACATAAATAAAATGGGTGGATAACGACGATTGAAAAAAGTTTGAAAATCCCCAAATTTGACCTCCTCTCACAACGGATTGGATAGTTCGAATCCAGAAAATTACCTTCAACAATTTAAAGAATCAAAAATTTGCAAAAAATCACAATAATTTTGAGTTATATTGAAATAAATTTCCTCATACCAAAAGTAGACTAGACAACAAAATGAGAACTTTCTGTCAACCCGAAACACTCATTTTCCACCGACTCGTCGCTTTATCCGGCCTCTCTTGTTGAGTTAGCTGCACCCATCAAGTAAGTAATGGCATAATTTTGATGGTACCTAAATGCATAGAGTATAGAAGAACCGTAATGACCAATTCTGAACAAAATATAAATCCAGACCTTGAGGTTGCAACGCGATTCAGGTCATTTTGACGAATTTTAAATCATGAAGCTGGCAACGCTGCAACTCTAAATTGTTCAAATATGCTTTTCCTTATCAAAAACTCTCAGAATGCACATTTTTCGTTAAATTTTGGAGGAAATCACACCTCGAAACCTTCATTTTATCATCAAATTCGATATTTTTGAGTCCGCAACTGGGCAACGCTGCCGCGGAGGCAAAAAAGTTTGTATGGGCATGAAAATTTCAGAAAAGTCATATCTTATACCAGGTTAATATACACTAAAAGTTCAGATCGGTCACGGCAAGGATGAAAGAGAAGAGGTTTAATTTGTCGCCCCCTGCCCAGTGTGCTATTTTACCCTTAAAAAACCACAAAAATTCAATTATTTTTCATAAAATCTCAAACACTCCATTTCGAAATTGGCCAAAACCCCATCAGGCAGTACCCTACTACAACCTACGATTTGAATTTTTGATTTTGAATGGAAATCACACTTCGAAACCGTCATTTTATCATCAAATTCGATATTTTGGAGTCCGCAACTTGGCAACACTGCCGCGGGGGCAAAAAATTGTGTATAGGCATGAAAATTTCAGAAAAGTCACATCTTATACCAGGTGAAAACATACTAAGAATTCAGATCGGTCAAGGCAAGGATGAGGGAGAGGGGGTTTAATTTGTCGCCCCAAGGCCACTTTTGCTATTTTACCCCTAAAAAACCACAAAAATGCGCTTATATTTCCAGGGGGCTCCGACAACCTATTTCGAAATTGTCCAAAAACCCATCAGAGAGTACCCCACTACAATCTCCCACTTGAATTTTTGATGTACATTCAAAGTGCATAATAAGTGAGTTCAAGCGCCCGGGGGGGGATTCAGGGTGGGTAAAAAATCAGCAATGAGAATACGTGATTCTGATACATGGCTCATTGTCAGTTTCTTTACAGACCTCAGATCACAGTCACTGCCAGAAAAACGTATCCTTATGCACAAGTACCATTCCAAAAATTTGTAAGAAAATGGGTCTTCTAAAAGAGCAATATCTGAAAACAAGTAATGCCAGCACACAATATGATCCACTTGCATCTTTGAGTACGGCAATGTAAGTCTCGCAGGTTTATTCTATGCACATAATCCGAAAAAAATGGTTCAAATCCAAGGAAACCGGAATTCTTCTCGATTTTTCTAGATATTTTCCGATGATAAGTATAAACGCCGCCCTGTGCCGCAATGGAATAAATTCATGGGATAGCGAATGGGACGCAATGGGATAGGTAAATAAAAGTAAATTATGTAATCACTAGTGATTCGACCATGACACATGCAAAATCAAGGTTTTTGGACGTTGCTGAATGAGCTTGAGGAAGAACAGCCCCCAAATACTGAAATAAGTACTCGGTTTTCTGTAGTCTAGGCAATGAAATATGGCACCACTGGCTTTTTGGGGGGGGCTTTGAACCCAAAAAAGTTCATAGAGGAAGGTTTTGACCACTCACGTCCTTTTTCTGCCAAAGGAGTTCAATTCTGGTGTAAGATAAGTCGCTTTTTTAAAGCCATTTTTAAGAATGATGAAAAACTGGGTAATACAAAAAAGTTTTTTTAACTACAAGCCCAAGGTTTGCCATCGATGAAAATTGGGCAAAGTGACTTTCTTTTATCCCTAATGAACATAATTGAAGGACTTTATGCTCCTCCAAAGGGATCGTTATGAAACAACGCGTCGAATGCTGAAAACCCCGCATTTTTCGCCAAAATCGGTCTTCAGACCCAGAAAGAGACCGAAAATGACTAAATCATGATGCATTCCGTGACATACAGGGTGATCCAAAAGTCCCTTCAATCCCCTCTAACTTTTTACCTAATTGAGGTAAAGATTTGCAACTTGGGGAATGTTCTTAGGTCAAAGAGAGCTACTTTTTGGCCCCCCTAGAATTTTTAGGGGGGCCCCTTGAAGGGGCAACGAACCCCAACTTTTATTTTCAAATGGGAAGACCCCCTTTGTGATACCTTGTTCGAAAGAGCATAAAAAAGAAAACTTCTCGCGCGAATTCAAAGTCAATATCTCAAACCGTTTCAAAATGACGGCCGGTTAAAGGTCAAGATGGCCGATAATGGTAACTGGTTGTTTGCCAATGGATTTGCACGAAAAGCGGTCTCCGGAGGTATTTTGACAAGAGAAAAACGAAGTTAACGCTAGATTCTTTAAAAAAACCGAAACTTCCAATAAAACCGCCGACTCAAGTTCAAAATGGCCAAAATTGCCAAATCGGTTTTTTTCTGATGGATTTGTTGAAACTTGGGACTTAGGGGTATTTTGGCATGAGATTAACACATTTTAAATTAGATTTCTAAAAAAAAAAAAAACAATTTTTGGCCATTTTCAAATATAACCGGCGGCCATTTTGGAAATGCTGGTTTTCTTAAAAATCTAACTTTAATTTCGTTTTCCTCGTGTCAAAATGCCCCTAGATACCGATTTTCGCGCAAATCCATCGACAAAAAACCGAGGTGCCAATTTTTGGAAACTCTTTCAGGAAACCAAAAATTTGGATTTAGCAACCAAAATGACATCAGAATCAGTCTTAACCTGACTGAGCCTAAAACCATTTCTTATAGCCCCCATTTGAGTCTATATTGACTGGACTAAGAGCATGATATGCGCAAGAAAAATTGCTGGAATTAACTTGTAAACAAGATTTTATCATTCTTACTTATCATTCATTCCGAAAAATGTGAATTTCTTACTCACAAAAAACCAGAGTTAATGTGAATCAAATCACACACTAAATTATTTTGTAGGCTTCTTAATTGAACCTCTTCCTCTGCCTTGTGTTTCCAAAGTATAAACAATAAGCAAGAGCTGAGCCGAGGCACCAAGATTGAGGTTGCTATTTTTCATACCACGGAGATTAATAGAGTAAAGCTTAATATGCAATTTAACACAAGATGATGGTTTTTCATAAATGGGAAATAAATTATCAATTCAAAGAACATTGATATTTTAGTCAGGAGTTATGTCAACAATTTTTGCTTCACAAATCGCTTTTTACATGCACTTTCAAGGGAAAATTCTTATTAAAATGCTTAGCATCACACCTTGGCTGATGGTCCAGTGCTCCTTGGCAGGCGCCCAGTCTGTAGTGGCGGTAGTTGCCTAGCAAAGAAGCTTTTAATGGAGGCAATCTTATGCCTTTGGTAACTGTGCGCAATAGGGTGTCCCTGGAAAAAATCGACTTTCGAATTTTCAGCCGGCCCAACTGGTATTAAGTTGTAGTATATAAAAACCCATAAATCTCGAATTTCAGCGAAATCGAACAACTTTTAGGGGTCGCTATCCCCCCTTTAATGTTTTTCTGTCTCATATTTAGTGATTGGACTTCAATACATTTTCCTCTGGTAAAAAAAGTGCTGATGCCATAGGAACATGAGACTTGGCCCAAACATTCTTCACAGGTATTTTATGGACAATATTTCTTCCATTTTGACCCATCGTCACTTAGGGCCTCCACAGCCCCCCTTCTTTCTGCAGTGTAAAACCACTGATTTCTTTATATTTCAAGGTGTACACTTTTTTTGCAATCACCAATATACTCATATACCATACAATCACCAATTTTTTTCATCTTAGTGTTTGAACAAGTTAAATCACACGCGCCGGCCAAATTTCAGGTCAATAGTGTACCCCCACAGCCCCCCTTTTTCTACGGAAAAAACGGAAAAGATTAGAAAATTTATCAGAATAACCGCCGCTATTTTGAAAAAAATATGATTCATGTCTTTCTATTCTTCACCCCCTTTGACGAGCCTTTGGACCAAGAATGTTGGGCCAAGTCTCATGTTCCTACGGCATCAGCACTTTTTTTACCAGAGGAAAATGTATTGAAGTCCAATCACTAAATATGAGACAGAAAAACATAAAGGGGGAGGGGGGGTAGCGATCCCTAAAAGTTTTTCGATTTCGCTGAAATTCGGGATTTAGGGGTTTCTTATATACTACAACTTAATTCCGGTTGGGCCGGCTGAAAATTCGAAAGTCGATTTTTTCAAGAGACACCCTAGTGCGCAACCTTGCTAAAATGTTTATTTTTCTTTGACTAGGACATATGTTCTATTTGTTCAGTCATCAACGTATCATATGCAGAAAAAAATTGATGAGAATTCCATGTTTGCCTTGACAGACAGTCGTCAAAAGTTCGGTACAGTTCATGAAAACACATCCCCATCATTACAAAAGAAAGATACAAAGATTTGAGTAAGTCGTTTAACAGAAATGGGAGGCAAAGATATCGTGTGTCCTCTTTCCTTTTCTGGCGAAATATATAATTCCTTCATCAAAAACTAAAGACTTGAATAATTACCTTATAAGTGGGTAATCAATTTCAAGTTGAGTGACAAACTTCAGGAAATAAGTTATCATCCAGACAAAATGCGAGGTATCGACTCTATGTTTGATGTTCAACAGGACCTGAGAGTGGAATTCGGAGACTAGTTTACCATAGCCTTTTAAGAGGAAGTCTATAGTGAATTCTTTTAACAATTGAGAGATATCTCCATCCTTTGGTGTATAATGTAGAAATGCTTTCATATTCATCCTGAAAATTGGTGAAAAACAGTTTAAACATGAGCAAAGAAATTCTTCAGGGTGTCTGGAAAGTCTCCGACCCTTCCCTCACCTCTTCACCATCAACTTTTTAATGCTTGCTCCCATCAAAAAGAAACTTTAGTGATGCTGCTTGATCAGTGAGCCAGCTTTACGTAATTATTTAGAGGGGGGTGTCTATAAACATAATGAAGTGCCTTACATGAATTATGAATAATCCTAGTGAGGGTGAGTGGAGTTCCGCAAAGATCGCATGTAAATGGTTAATTAGCATAAGCTTTGAGCAATTGGCACAAAAACTGCCGCCGTCTTTGAACTGTGCAGACTCTGTTGTAGAAATTATTTCTGGAGCATAAACCAGTAGACAAACTTCTCAGTTCGTTGGATACCTAAAGGATTACTGAGAAAACTGTGAGAGTTGATCTGTTAAAATGAATTAGTATTTTTTATCCTCCCTACATACTTTAATGAATACAATTTTAAAATTCAGACTGCAATCATGATTGTGAGCTGCACGATTTTATTTTAAGTAGTAATTTCAAAAAATTATGTCAATAATAAATAACCTCTGCTTCTCGTTTTGCCTTGAAACTGTGTGTGAGTGGAAATACAATGAAAATTTGGATTGAAATTTTGAGTGAGCAAGATCACTTGCTAAAAACTGCATTACCAGTGATGAACTCGGACAAATGGCACTTTTATTTGCACAGAGAGGTTGATGAGGGCAAGCTCGTGATTAATTAAAGGGTCTCCCAATAAGTAATTTTCGCTATATTTCTTCTCCGCAAATATTATAGACAGAGTAAAACAGGGAGAATTCCTTTATTGTATATATTATATCTTGAATGTTTAACGCATAGAATTAGATATGTCATGATTTTAAAATTTGTTTCTTTTTTCACAGAAAAAATAAAAATTTAAACTGAATCGAGCTCCCAAATTATAGCTGCAGATGCAATTTTAATTTTTATATTTTGAAGATTGAAGAATAATCCTCAAACCTGAAATTAATAACTTCATAAAAAAATTTCATTTCAAAAACTTCGCCTTCAAAAGACATGGATCCCCACATTCTACATGTAAAATTGTTGTTTATAAAGAGGTGTGTGAAAAAAGGGTACAAAATGCCCAAACGCATTTCCGAATTGGGAACGTTTGACGTGATAAAGTAGTTCCCATAACGCGTTAAACAGGGCGCATTTATGCTTTAAAATGCTGTTTTGTGACATTGCCATTTTTAAAGTGGCCCTCTACCAATTTATAACTTCTTGCATCTCAACCGATTTCAATGAGCTTTTTTTTAAAATGCTCTTCTTAAATAGAGCATTCAAACGGTGGGATGCAACGTTGCCACTATTTAAAGGAAATATCTTCAAAAATGTATAACTCTGTTGCATTTTACCTGAATTCAATGACCTTTTTTTTAATATTTCACTTTTAAATAAAGGTTTCCCAAGGTGTATAGATGATGGGTTTATCAACCACTGGGCGACGTTTATACCATTTTAATGATTCTTCGCAGGAATTTTCTCATGAACTCTCAAACCTACCAAAGGTTCCTACGTTAGATGTGTTAGAGTGAATTTAGGCTAATAGTATTTCTTCTGCAAAAATGCTGAAATATGCTCCAATAAAGCTTCTATCATCGTCAATCGGAATCAGAATTGAGTGAGGTCAAAGTCAAAGCGCAGTTGCCTCATAGGTGTATTTGTTAAGTTGCTTTGCCCCAAAAACTGATGTGCAAGGAAACAACTTTTTTTCACCACCTGTGTAAACTTTAGTGCCTGTCAGTAACGGCCTTATCATTATGGCGAAATGGATCAGGTTTGGTAGAATACAGGATAGTTGAGGAATACCCCTATCTCTTGCAGTAGAGAGTATTAGAGTACGAGGCTTAAATTTAAAATGTGCGATGCTCTGAACCTACTTACAAAGTGATGCAACTACGCTTCATTAGTTTTTTTGACTGAAGTTCTTTTTTCTCCTTATCGCTCAGTTGAGGTTTAGAGAATCGATTTTTCTGAATTTTTAAAGCAGGCTTAGCATTCCTGAAAAATTTGAGACAAAATTAGTGAAGAAAAGATCAAAGTATGTATAACCCTGCAGGAAGAAAAGAACTGTCTTTCAAATTAGCTACTATACTCCGAGGTTTTTGATGGTTGGGGAGTCACATACAGGAGCAAATTAATTTTGGTCGATTTCATGCAGAATTGAGGAGCAGAGGGAAAGTACAGCCTAAGGTGACCTAGACCTCTATGCAGAAATCGACTATCCTAAAAGAATGCCTCTTCAAAAAATTTTTTATAACAGTACTTTGGAAACTCAGCAAGACGTAGAAGCTTTTAGGAGGATCGATCTAACATTGTGCTTCATTCAGAGAATAGCCATTTTCACAGTTTTTTTAACATCAGGTGCAATGATCAGTGTCATTTTTCACGAACCTTGTGTGCCCTGCTCCTGAAAGGGGGGATTTTCAAAAATGTTGCAGCATGGTTCAGAAATGTTGCCAAATGTTCTATGAGAAGGTTGTAAATTTGAGAGGATGCCGATGCGTTGTTTGAAAGTTACAAAATTTGGCAACTGAATGGTAGGAAAGCCCCAACAAGTTGCAACAGAAGTTAGTAGCAACTTTTTGGTTGAGAATGGCTACTTGAGTTACCAGTCTTTTCTCCTGGATTTGACTCCGACATAGTAGTAAACCTCAAATTGTGCTGGCAAAACGTCAAAACGAGAACTTGTCAAAATCCTACCATCACCTTGTCCTTTCTCTTGGTAATCATGCACAAGCAGTCACCTATCATGAATCTCACTATCACCCACGAGCTTTCTCCCTTAAACGAACGGCTTATTTGAAGAAGGGCGTAAAATTCGCAAAAACATATAAAACTTTGATTTCTTTGACAATTCTTCATATTTTGGTCCGTTTGGTCACATAAGTAGGATCAGAGAAGAGCGAGAAATAATACAATTTAAAACTTTGGTGGATGCACCCTTCTTCCACAGAACAGCTGATTCTGATATTTTTTGCATTATTATGACAGTCAAGTAGCATGCGTGTTTGATGACAATATTAAAAATCATAATTTGCACCCTTACACATGGTTTTCATCACTAGGAAGTACCCTGCTCTGAGAGAGGTGGCTCGGAAAAGACACCCCACGGAAAAAGAGCGATTTTGGTGGATTCGTTCAGTGGTAAGATATCTTAATATTAAATACTATCTATACTATTCTTTGAGTGGACGCATATGCGTCCTCCCTCAAAGAATAGTCTTCCGCCAAAACTCAATTTCTGAAAATCCTTTCTTCGTATTAATATTATATCTATACTATTCTTTGAGGGTGGACGCATATGCGTCCTTCACCAAAGAATAGTCTTCCACCAAAACTCAATTTCTGAAAATCCTTTCTTCGTATAACTCGTTCATTTGTTAGCCCCATCCTTCAGATTACAAAAAATATGAGCCTCCTTCTATAGATCATATCAATCACCCAGCTATACTCTTCTCCAACCATTAACATTGTTTACATGGAAAAAGGCAAAAAAAAAAGTCAAATGAAATATGTACACACCGTAAGGGTTGTTCTTCTTCATTGCTGGAGGTTGAGATTGAACCTTGATTTTCAACTTGCGTGTCATATCCACGGTCAGATACTTCATTTGAGTGACACTGCTTAATGCTCTTTCGATTTTGGAAACACTGTGATTATACAAACGAAATTTTCATAACAAAATATGCACTAGGCATGGAAGTTTTTGTGACAAAGGAGCATCAATAGGACTGCACTTTACAGAGAGAAAATGTAAATATTTGTTTTTATAGGCTGAGGGTGGGATTTGAAGTACTTTCTGGAGTGGATCTATGGTCCGGTCCATCAACTAACTGATGATATCTCAATTCCAAGATTTTTTGCATCAATTACATTCAGTAGCAAAATGTCTATGCTATGAATGTACAAGATGTGATGGAGAAATATCTTAATATATAGAGTTGAATTCAGATCGAAATTGAAGGGTGGACTGCTGGCCCTTTCGGAAGGGGCGTGGTACCTGCCAGCACGTCGCAAAAAATTTAGTTTTGGAAAATTATCTCTGTCCCCATGGGTCGCGTTCTCGATTTTTCCTGGCCCGAAAACGGGATTTCAACTGGATTTCCTGGTAGGCAGGTTGGGGAGGGGGCCTTCCGCTGGGATCTCACCTATTGCTGCTCGGTAAGAGTCGTTGCCATGGAACCGACGATGCCGTAGAACTCATTGTTGGCTGTTTTATATCATAGGAGAAAAAGAGAGTTGGAATTCAATTTTTGAATTTTACTTTAGTTGTTAAAATGAGTTGTTCCGGCCGCCCGGCAAGGCGAGAGCGTATTTACCATAATACAACGGAACGTAGAATTATTAAACGCAACAGAACTAGAGTTGAGTACATTCATAAGTTATATTCCAAATCAGCTTTATTTCGTCAGCACACGCATTATGATTTTGAATTCGAAGAAAATGTTATTTTGCAGTTAAACCTTGGGTCTATGAATATTAAATGTGATCAATGTGGTGTGTTTCATTTCAAAGGTGAATCAGTTCAGGGTCATTTAAATAGCTGTTGTCACAATGGATTGGTTCGTCTTCCTATTCCATGAGAACATATTATTTTGAAAAATTTAGTGTTGAATAATTCAAAGTTTATGTATAACATTCGGAATTACAATAGTTCTATGGCCTTAGCAAGTTTTTCTGCAACGAAAAAAGGAAATACGTATTAACGGACCCCATTGTTTCAAAATATAAGGCCAAGTTTACAGGAGAGTCGCACCAATCATACAGGTCAGGATTATTCATAGTCGTTCCTCTGATGGCCGCCTTAACCAATGTAGTTCATATGGTTTGAGGAACTGAATACCATCAATGGGTCAGTTTCACGCAAGAGATACTGCCAGATAAATACATGTTGTAAGGGTAAATCACTCCAATATCACTTTGGGCACATCAAAAAAGTCTGAAATTCACTTGTTAATGGGTAATCTGCGTAGTTTGTAACTTACTTTTTCAAATTTACCGCGTATGAAGGCAGTTTTTCTTTGTGACTGGCAGTTGAGTTTGCTCGAAGAGAGAACTGACCTAAATAAACAAACCATCTTGCAAACTGTTATAAACTCTCCTCGAGTTTACAATTTTGCTACATTTAAGTATTCATTAACATTCGTATGTTATGTCAACGCAAATATAATAGTTTGAGTAGTTCCTCAAGGAAAATTTAAAACAACAAAGCAAGAGAAAATACCAGACGGAGCCATGCTGATGGCAATAAAATTCTAATCTGTCATTTTGAGAGTATTAAAGTGATTTTCCCACACTTTTTCAGTTCTTTCAGTGCATACGGGGTGTTCCAAAAGTCCAGCCACCCCCTCTAACTTTTGAACGGTTCTTGATAGAAAAATGAAACTTGGGAAAGTTCCTATCTCAAAGAGGACCATCTTTTGAGGGGGTCAAAATTTTGGCCCCCCCTCAGAGGGGGGGCCCAACTTTTTTTTCCAAATGTCAACCCCTATCTTGTGATACCTCATTCAAAAGAGCATTAAAACCTAAGAATTTTAGCACAAACTGCAGATCGATATCTTAATTTTTGACCGAGTTATGATAGGTCAAAGGTCAAATTTGACCTATTTTCAAAAAAACATGAATCCGGTTCAAATTATCGTAAAGAAAAAGTAAAATGGGAAAAGAACCCCGCACAGACCTTATGGGCAATGGCTCTCTCTGGAATCTGATGAAACTTGGATATGTTGCTCAGCTAGTTATTCTGATCAAAAGTTCTCATGGGCCGAAAGAGATCCCACGAGCGGTTTTCGAGATATTTGCCGTTTTATGTGCGAAAATTGAGGTTTCGCTGGCCGGATCATTGTGCGGCGCCTCTTGTACCCTTTTCGTCCAGTCCACTTCGGCCGCTCTCCGCTTCCCCACCACCCATACCCGAGGCTCGGACTCCGACGCTCACGGTGATAAGACTACCCGGCTCGGCGGCGATGAGCAAAGCCTCTTGAGCGTCGAAGTCCGAGCCTCGGGTATGGGTGGCGGGGAAGCGGAGAGCGGCCGAAGTGGACTGGACGAAAAGGGTACAAGAGGCGCCGCACAATGATCCGGCCAGCGAAACCTCAATTTTTGCACATAAAACGGCAAATATCTCGAAAACCGCTCGTGGGATCTCTTTCGGCCCATAAGAACTTTTGATCAGAATGACTAGCTGAGCAACATATCCAAGTTTCATCAGATTCCAGAGAGAGCCATTGCCCATAAGGTCTGTACGGTGTTCTTTACCAAATCGTGTTCGCTTTCAAGTAAAAATTGCAGAAATCACTTCGCTAATTTTAAGGGGGGGGGGTTCGGACACCCAATTACATCAATTCAAAGGTCATTCAATTTTCCCGCGAAATAAGCCAATTTCTCCTAGATTTGCCTCTACATTATCTCAGTAAGGTCAAAATCAGTTCAACATTACGTTGGCAACTCCCCAAATGTCGGGAAAAGTTCAAAAAAACGAAATTAAAACCGTCAAAAATTACCTTAAATTTCGTTTTTTTTTAACTTTTCCCGACATTTGGGGAGTTGCCAACGTAATGTTGAACTGATTTTGACCTTACTGAGATAATGTGGAGGCAAATCTAGGGGAAGTTGGCTTATTTCGCGGGAAAATTGAATGACCTTTGAATCGACGTAATTGGGGGTCCTAACCCCCTTTAAAATTAGTTCGAAGTGTATTCTGCAATTTTTACTTGAAAGCGAACACAATTTGGAAAAGTTTTCCGTTTTATTTCTTCTTTGCGGTAATTTGAACCGGAGTTATGATTTTTTGAAAATAGGTCATATTTGACCTTTGACTTATAAAAACTAGGTCAAAAATTAAGACATCGGTCTGCGGTTTGCGCCAAAATTGTTAGTTTTTGATGCTCTTTCTAAAGAGGTATCACAAGATAGGGGTTGCCAATTGAAAAAAAAGTTGGGGGCCCCCGCCCCCCCCTCTGAAGGGGGACCAAAATTTTTGACCCCCCCCCCCCAAAAAAAAAGATGGTCCCCTTTGACATAGGAACATACCCAAAGTTTCATTTTTCTATCTCGAACCGTTCAAAAGTTAGAGGGGGGGGTGGACTTTTGGAACACCCTGTATATGTTTATCAGCTCTTATTCCGGTCCCCCCCTCCAAAACTGAAAGTCTTTTGAAACGTTTATTTATTTATTTTTTAAACAGAGTTCAAGAGAGTTCTCGACCCACCTTCTGAGGAACTCTATTCAATTAAAAGTGAAATCAAATTACAAATACTTGAAGTGAGCGTTCATAAAATACGCAATGCTCTAAGGAGGGGTGGGGGATATAAGCCAGAGTCACCCCACCTTACAAGGAGGGAGGGTCAGAGTCTTTGTTACATAACCCGGTTCTGTAGACAAATTTCTGCGAGTGGATTCATTTGAGTTTTTGACTAACTACCAACCTCAGTTTCAACAAATAAAACGAAATTCCCCACTGGCGACTGTTCACCTACAACATTTGTTTTTCATGCTAGCAGCAATGATGACCATATCCAAAATTCTTGACCCAATAAATAAATAAACAAGAAATCTTTCATTTTCTCTTCAAATTTTGACTTCACTGTAATCTGAAAATTCAAGGCACGTACCCTTGGTTACGACATTACATCCTTCATGAACATATGTTTAATTCATAAGATGAATTTTCCGTCCTCTGAATGCACTTTTGACCACAAATGTACTGGATGGATACAGCAAGTAAACCAACTCTTGACAGGACTGAATTAGATAGGCCTAATTTTTGGAGACTAAAAATCGCGGATGAAAAAAACAGGACTAAATGACCATTGGACGAAACGTCAGCTAACCACTTTTTGGTACAATTGTCAAATAAATATTATTAGACGACAAAAAAAAGTTTCTCTCTTCACTGCGTTTACAGGGATGGCTGCTCTACTTTTGCCTATCGGTACTACGTTGCATAGATTATTATGTCTCCACGCTCCTTTGACTAAATAATAGGTTTCTAATATTAAATCAAACTCTGAAAGAGCAGAGATTTTGTGTGAAGCAACATTAATCGTTATTGACAAATCATTGGTGATTCCAGGATAAGCCATTGACTGCATCAATCTTTTACTGTGTGACGTAATGAAAACTGTCGATATTCCTTCAAAAGAGGAGCCAATGGGTGGCAAAATAATAGTTATTGGTGGCGATTTCCAACAAGTCCTTCTGTAGTACCATAGGGTGCAATGGCTGCTAAAGTACAAATAATAGAATCTTGCTTTCAAAGCTGTGAATTGTGGCCATTTTTCAAGAAACTACAACTTACCACGAACATACGCACCAATGCTGATGAAATGGAATTTTCAAAATTTTAATTACAAATCCGAAATGGAGAACTTATAACTGACTAGCTGCTTCGCCCCCTGGACCCCCAGTCACTCGCTCTGCAAATGACTGTTGGCTCTCAACTACTAACCTAAAACCAGCAGCTAATTTGTATTTGTATTTTTATTGAAAGCTGTCGATGCGTTGAAGTTCCTGCACACTATAGTTTCTCGATTTTTTGGTCAACGTTACAATATATTTTCTCCATTAAAAACAACCATACAGCTGAAAATAAGTTAAATTGAGTTGCGAGACATTTTGAAACGTTTGTCATTAAAATCGAAAAACCTAGGGGTGTTGGCACATTTAGAGCCTAAGAACTTTCATTTAAAACAAATCCGAAGTAAATCGGTCCAGTAGTTTCCGAGATGGAAGTAGCACAAACTATCCAGCGGCAAAGACGCAAATATGTCGTTATCAAATCGAGGTAAATTTCGCAACATTGGTCGCGGAAATCGAAAAACCAAGGAAAGCTGGCACATCTAGAGCTTAAGAGCTTCCATTTAAAACAAATCCGAGGAAAATCGGTCTAGTAGTTGCCGAGATCGAAGTAGCACAAACTGTCTACCGGTAAGCCGGGAATGCGTCAATGTAAATCGAGGTAAATTTCGCAACGTCGGTTGCGCAAATCGAAAAACCAAGGGATGCTGGCACATCTGCAAGTCAAGAGCTTTCGTTTAAAACAAACCCGAGGAAAATCAGTCGAGTGGTTGCCGAGATCGAGGGAGGACAAAAAAAGCCTTAGGATATTAAATATGTAGATAGATAGATAGGGTCCGCTGAAAACAACTGCATCTCTTCAGGATATGACTAGAGTCGTATTTTGTTCGATGAAACAACTCGGAACATCTCGTAACAGTCGTATTTTGTTCGAATGTTATTTATGTTAAGGAGCGTGGCCTATTTTTATTCGTTTCATTATTTTGCACAATTTGGCAACGTTTTGAGACATTGTTTCAAAACAATCGGAACGTCCTCAGAGCTTTGTTACGACTGTTCTGTAAATTTGTTAACAAGATTCTTAACCTCACTTCTAGCTGCATTGCTCTCGTTGGTTGTGAAAAAGTGACGCAAATAACACAAAATCGGTAACAGGAAACAATTGTTGCGGCGAACAAAATACGACTATTGGTTGATTCCGTTGATGTTAAGATGTTGAATGATGAGTAAGGGGGTTAAGGTATAGTTTATGTCATTGAATTGATCTGCCTCAAGCACCATGCGAGGGTAAATGTAATTTACAATGATGAAACTACACTGAAATTGTGCCGAAGTATCAAAAGGAAGCAGCATTTAAATCACAGTTTGATATCTCATAACAAACAGCATCCAAAAATTTCACAACAATTTGGTGCATTTTTAGACAAGCAACAAACGCATCAGTGGAACGAAGATTGCAGAAAGTGTCATCGCTCATTACTCTCATTTTTTTATTAAATTGTTCTTTTCCATAAGTCACGAGTGCTAGTCTTCACATCTTGAAGAAATGCAATTGTTTTCAGTGAACCCGATCGGTCATAAGTAAAGTTCTAAAAATTACTGGAATATGAGCCTCGGCCTATCCTGCAACATGCGACTGTCACTGTGCTTCGGCCAAAGTTCATTCGCTTTAAATTTTCCTATCAACTTATGTGCTCTGTAGTGATTGTACCAAGCAACACAATAGATTTGTATTGCGTGATCCGCTGTCTTGGCCCCAGTTTGGGGACGATTCTCGGAACTCGGAACTGGAAACTGCGTAAGCCGCGGTACAGTGTAGCACTCCGAACTTTTCTCCTAGTAACTTCCGACACCACCAAGTCTCCACCCGGAAATTTTGCACACGCATAGTCGAGGGTGTCATCAACATCTCGTGAAATTTTCAAAGAAATCAAAAGGTCCGACTTTGGGTTATGTTGTTTTAAAAATTAAAATTTGCATCAGTAAAAATTTTAAGTTAAGCCCAATTTTGTTATACATGTCTGAAAAGCTCTTTCTCAGGGGTTTCCAACGACACCAAAACGGTCGATTTTGGATGGACCGTTTCGAAGTTACACATCAATAAAGTGATGGCATCCCCCAACTTTCTCGAACTTTCAGTGTCTAATAAAAGCCCAAAGGGTGGTCGAATCAACTTAAAATTTTGGTTTTTCACTAAGCTATGCATGTACTATCGCCGAATTTAGTTTCACGCATAGGCCGCTCCAAATCAAATTAAATGTTATGGACAGCCCTCCATGAAAGTGAATCTTCATCATGCAATACACTGACAAAAGGAGAACAAAAGTAGCCTATTAAAAGTATCAAGAAATATGTTAAAGTTTGAACCTTAAATGAGGAGAGAGAATCATCCTTTTCAATTTCTTTAATTTCTTTTTTTCCAGGTACTTTTTTTCCGCTTGAAGTTGGAATTCTTGGAGTGATATCAGCAGACCCCAAAATCTAAACAGGATACAGAGCCATTTTTATAAAACAGAATGAATAGGTTTGCTAGTAGATTGGAGACGTAAGGTAACAGCACCAGTACCCGGAATGGTACCAGTATCCGGAACGTCGCTCAGTTTTTCGTAAAAAATAAGCGGCAGGTACATCAGTGCAAAAAGGGCATCAGGTTTTCACAAATTACACTCAGAGGGCGCCACCTTGCAATAAGTGTGATGGTCGTGCGCTCCTTTTATTATCTGTACCATGCTTCTATAGTGACGTATTCACAGAACGAACCGCTCTGTGAATACGTCACTATAGAAGCATGGTACAGATAATAAAAGGAGCGCACGACCATCACACTTATTGCAAGGTGGCGCCCTCTGAGTGTAATTTGTGAAAACCTGATGCCCTTTTTGCACTGATGTACCTGCCGCTTATTTTTTACGAAAAACTGAGCGACGTTCCGGATACTGGTACCATTCCGGGTACTGGTGCTGTTACCTTACATTGAATAAAATCAATTCATTTGAAGATATGTAACAAGGTGGAGAAATGGTGCTGGGTCACACCATTTCGCGGGGAAACAAAGCCAAGAAATACCAAAAATTAAAAATTAGAGTCAAAATTAAATTTTTTCAACTCTAACGCGCACTAGTACAAAACTGAGGGAGGAGAGTGTTCAGCTCAGGCAGTTTGCATTAGAATATTAAGTTGGAGTCACACCGAGAGATCTATACCGGTTTGGGCCTTATTAGACCTCATCAGCAGATCACACTCGGCAGTGAACTTACAGTTCGGGCCACTTCTTAGTGTTTTATTTTTTCATTTTGAAGGTATGTATGGTAGTATTTTACTGAAAAAGAAGTTTTATGTGCCAATCATCTCACTTACAAACGTTTTGGAAAATCGCTTGGAAAAGCCTTTGTTGGTTTCAGAATGAATCATCATTTTTTTTACACTTCTCACATATTGTGCTTGGAAAGTTGATTTCTTCGAGTGAATTCCGAGGATTGAAAGATGAACAATGAAATACTACTACTACATCTGCTGCAGCTACTGCTTTGTAAGTGCACCTCCCCCACCTCTTTTTCCCTCCCCTCCTGCCCATTAATTGCATTACATGAATAAATGACTCCTGTCACTCGAATATTTTATTTTATTTCAAATTGCAAAAAGAAATGCATTTTGGGATATATTTGCAGAGCTATTTACAAAGGAAGGGTCATCAAGTTAAAACCACGCAAAATTACAGTGGACTGAAATAGCTCCCAGGCCCCCATTGGCATAAAATTAAGTGTTTCTAGACTTCATCCTGACCAAAGTTAACATTGATCTTTCACTTTTAACTTTCATTGCCAGTGACCTAAACTCGAATGCTGCCACAGGATTTGACAAAATTTCTGGAATGCTAATTGAATTAAGAATCAACTGCTGGGTCATTCCGCGTCAACTGTGCCAGGCTCAGAACCCAACCCCCTCCGATTTGGCTGAAAATTGGTATACGAGGTCTTTACATCATTCTAAGCAACTAGTTTGAAGGGTTTTCCCATCCAACACCCCGTTCGCGAGATATCGACCCCCAAAGATGAGGTGAAACTTAGCGATACTTGAAAAAGCCTGTTTTAGCGTTTCTCATTTTCTCGACTTCCCTCCCTTTGACTGTCCATGGTGAGACTCTGTATCAATTCATCAAACTTTTAACAAATGTTGTTTTAACAAATGTTACTATGCCAACTTTTTATGTAGATTCAGAAAATGCCATCGAAATGGACTTTAAAATGATTTAAATGGCCGTAATTTAGGGTTTTCTTAAAATTTACTATTTTTTCGCCCTTCAATGTTCAAACTGAATTACCTAAAAAGCAGTCCCTCCGATTTTTGATTTTTTTCTCTACTTCAAGCTTAGGAAATATACCTTTGGTTGACATACTTTTTTCAATTGCCATCGACGGTTTAGGGCCTAAAAAAATTCAAATAAGCCCAAAAAGGTCTAAAATTGGTCAAAACAGACGAATTATTACTTGTTAGTTCAAATACCTCGAAAATAAACACTTCAACTATCGATATTTTCCCCCATTTTACCCTCTTCTGACTATCAACGCTTTCCATACATTCACCGATCGATTAACGGCCTGATGGAAACCAGAAATCGACCGAAAATCCTTGATATTGACGCAGGAAGACGATTTTTCACACCGTAACCGATGCATCCCTTGGATAGTAACTGCTATTTCCAATTTTCTCTCTCTATTTCAACCTTAAGGTATATACTTTTGAGGGCATCAATAGGTCCCAAATATAAACGGAAATAAAAACCAGCCGGATATGCTCAAAATTGATGGGAAAAGGCGAATTATTGCATAGTCAGGGGAGCATGTGTTCGAAAATTACGTCCCGTTTGCACGTTTGTGATGCAAGTTTACTCTCTTCATTTTGGTCCCTAGAATGAGAAAATCTTTGGTGGATTCTTTCACCGAATAATCAGGAGACAAATTATTTGTCATTCACGATTGAACAAATTGTTTATTTTCAGACGAACCATTTTAAACTAATTTTTTCCCAACACTGACACGCGATGATCAATGACCTACAAGTACTTGCATTAGAAACCAGTTTCGTATTTCTGGGCTACCAGTGGAAATTCACAGCTTTTCCTTGATCAGTTGTGTTTCCATCAAGTTGTTAACAGCATGTAACTGGAAAAATTTCCAAGCGCGTATGGACACTGGACAGTTAGCTAGGTTTTCATACACTTTTTAGCTGTATTTATAAATTTGAACGGCATACTAAGGACAGTCAAGAGTTAATGTAAACATCAAAGTACTGTAATATACAAGTGCAATTACATTTGGCGTGAAGTATGTACCTAATATTGTGATACCTGCAACATTTATTAGGCGAAATGATTTTCGATTTTCTAAAGTAAGAAATCTTGACGAATCCAACTTGGTAAGTCTTATTTTTTTCATGTAAGAGGGTGAATTTTTAATTTTACTCATTTAATATCCTTGACGTTATTAATGTTAGAAAAAAAATCAGACCCGCCTTAGAGCGGCCGTATCTTCAGCTTTCTAACAGGTTATTATTTTGAAAATTTGGTACACGTTGTGCGAAGCAATAACAGATTTTCTATGTCGACCTCATGTCCAAACATGCCCACTTTTACCACGCTGTAGGGTTTAAGAGAAAACAAAAATTTAAGTCTGTGAAGGAGTAAAAGAAATTTATTCTTTTGGTGGACTAGTTGTGAAACTGCTTTAAGACTTTTTACCCTTCTTTTCAACATAGTCACTTGCCCCATCCTTACATTTTTTATAACAGTACAGCGACTTCTTCCACCCAGTCTCATAAAAGTCCTTCCTGTCAGCCCACAGCCAGTTAATGACACACGATAACTTCTTTGTCATGACTAAACCGCTTGCCACCAAGATACTGTTTTTTTTAACTCCGGAAAAAAATGAAAATCACTCATCACTGAGCGCAGAAGTTACTGTTCGTGCCAATAAATGGCTGCAAGCTGAGAAAAAGGACTTTCATGAGACCCGGTGGAATGAGTCGCTGCATCATTTTCAAAAATGTAAGGATCCGGCAGGTGACTGCGTTGAGAGGGAGGATAAAAAGTCTTAAAACAGTTACACAACTTTCGTACCGAAAGAATAAATTTCTTTTGCTTCTTCACGGACTTAAACTTTTGTTTTCTCTTAAACCCTACAGCATGGTAAAAGTGGGAACTTTTGGACATGAGCTCAGTATAGAAAATCCATTATTACTACGCACAATGGGTACCAAATTTTAAAAACTATAGCTTGTTAGAAAGCTGAGGATACGGTCGTCCTGAAGCCGGTCTGGTTTTTTTTCTAACATCAAGAGTTTCAGAGATATTAAATGAGTAAATTTACTTAAAAATCCAGCTTCGTATTAATGGACAAACAATAGCTCGTCACTTCCAATCGGTTACAGTTAAAATAAGTAATATTTCAAAATTGTATTGGCAGCAAAATAGAGGTGTCGCCAGCTCAGCTGACAGTTGTTTACTTTTGCTTAGCAAGCTACTGCGCTGCAGTTGTCCAATGGCGATCGAGGATTGACCACCAGGTCTTGACTCTTTTTTATTTCTGTGAAATAAAAATCAGTGGTCTACCTAATACTGCTCCGTTTATGTTAATCAAATTGATCCATTGTTATTTTTTTTGTTCAAAGATCAAACCCGTCAATGCCACCTTAGTGGTAAGAAGCTTTCCGGTCAGCAGTCAAAAAGTTATCATGTAAAGGTACATAGGCTGTACTTAGACAAATTTCAAGGAGGGATACGATACAGTCGAATAACGTTTTATTTGACCGTGCTGTAACGCCGAATAACGTTTTATATGACGGTACGTACCGCCGAATAAATACTTTGATTGTCAATTGCTTCGGATTGCTGAAACTACATAACAGTTTCCTGGCTAATTATGAATAATAGGTAAATCAAACGAACCCAGGGGTTTACAAGTAAATCTGTAGAAAACATTGCATTTTGACAATACTTTTAGTAGAACATTGCCACCTGTTGATTTCGAAATTTATTTATACATACCACCGGCATACAAGACCCCCAAGAAAAATATGTACAGCAGTAAAATCATCTGTAAGCATTAAGGGGCTGATTTAACTTTAAGTCAGGGGTAGATTTTCAAAGAAGACTCAATTTCTCAACGATTTGGAGATGGCCTCTTTTTCAAATAATCAATTTTTTAATTCATTTCATTGAAAGAATTATTACATTCTGACAAATCAACATGCCAGGTGAATATTTCGCAGAATGTTGTTAAACCTTTGAAATGACTGTTATGACTAAGCACATACCATATTAGTATCGGGTGCTGGCTGCTTCTCGAAATTCTCTTTAATCGTGGATGGTTGGATACTCGCAGGCTGCTGCTGTTTTGGTGGCTGTGTGCTGGATTGATTCACATTATCTGATCCTGTTTCGGATGAGTCAGAGGTGGGGTCAGATGTTGTATTTGAAAACGAATCATTGTTCCGCTCCTGAAATTTAAATAATCATTCCTAAATTACATGAAGGACTGCATGGATTAAGTTGAATCATAAGTAAATCATTAACAAAGGAGGAGTAACGTTTTAGGCCTTTTCCGGCCCCACCTGGATTTTGCTAAATGTTTCATATTTTCAAAGTACTAGTCTTAGGTAGACTCTGTGCCAAATATTAGACCGAACGGAGCCCATGCAAGGGCGCAGCAGCGCCTCAAACCCAAAATCCTGGAATCGAAAAACAATTATTTTCGTCGACTTTTTTGACTGTTATCACTCTTCCAGCACATGATTCTTATGTATTTTTTTGCGTACTTTTCGTTTCTGGCCTTTTTAAAAGCCTCCGATAAATTTTAAGGGGCCTTATGGCCCATTTTTAGGGGTTTTTTCCATTTAACACATTCAAAACTCAATTTAATCCAAAAACTGTGTACATTTTTTGAAAAGTACGTAAAGAAATGAATAAAAAAGGTTCAGTAAAATTTTTTCCTATGTTGTCAAATTTCCGAGAAAATTCGTCCCAAAGTGTCAAAAACGGCAAAAAATCGATAAATCGCCGCGTCTAAGGTTCAAGAAAGTGGAGTACATTTTTCATACTGTACCAGATAACAGCTCTTATCCATCCATACAACATACTAAAACATCATAGTTGTACCTGGATTCCCACGATGTGAAAATTGACCGAGATGTCGATTTTAGCGGCCTTTTTATACTTGAAGGCAGCTCTTTTGAATGTTTCTCGACCTTAGTCACCCTCTATGGGTGTGTACTATGTGTATTTTTCTACGTACTTTTCATATCTGGCCATAAAAATGGCTTCCTGTGAATTTTAGAAGGCCTAACGGTCCATTGTTGCCAATTTTCACCAATTTTTAGGGGTTTTTTCAAGTTTACGTGTGTGAAACTTAATTTAATCTAGAAATCGTGTACAATTTCGGAAAGAACGTAAAAAAATACATGGAATGTGATTTGTACCTTTTCCCTATGTTGCCAAATTTTCGAGAAAAATCGTCCTGAAGCGTCAAAAATGCCAAAAATTGGATTAATCATCACGTCGGAGGTTCCAGGAAGTGAATTATGACATTCATGTGGATCGTGAGACGCTTTCTCCACGCATTTTCTGTTCTTCGGTATATTTGGCCTGTAGCAAGCATCTAGAGAACCAAGGATTATCTCGAGGTTACAGGAATAAAGAGGTGAACTGGAGTGAAGGATAAAGTAAAAGCACCTTGAGGGCCCGTTTTGTCACGTTCATCTACGCCATTACATGTTCCTTGAGATGCATTGCAATTTTCCGTTTTCGATACGTTATTTGTAGTGAAAAAAAACTTGAAATTCACTTCCTGGAACCTCCGACGTGATGATTAATCCAATTTTTGGCATTTTTGACGCTTCAGGACGATTTTTCTCGAAAATTTGGCAACATAGGGAAAAGGTACAAATCACATTCCATGTATTTTTTTACGTTCTTTCCGAAATTGTACACGATTTCTAGATTAAATTAAGTTTCACACACGTAAACTTGAAAAAACCCCTAAAAATTGGTGAAAATTGGCAACAATGGAAGTTAGGCCTTTTAAAATTCACAGGAAGCCATTTTTATGGCCAGATATGAAAAGTACGTAGAAAAATACATATAGTACACACCCATAGAGGGTGACTAAGGTCGAGAAACATTCAAAAGAGCTGCCTTCAAGTATAAAAAGGCCGCTAAAATCGACATCTCGGTCAATTTTCACATCGTGGGAATCCAGGTACAACTATGATGTTTTAGTATGTTGTATGGATGGATAAGAGCTGTTATCTGGTACAGTATGAAAAATGTACTCCACTTTCTTGAACCTTAGACGCGGCGATTTATCGATTTTTTGCCGTTTTTGACACTTTGGGACGAATTTTCTCGGAAATTTGACAACATAGGAAAAAATTTTACTGAACCTTTTTTATTCATTTCTTTACGTACTTTTCAAAAAATGTACACAGTTTTTGGATTAAATTGAGTTTTGAATGTGTTAAATGGAAAAAACCCCTAAAAATGGGCCAAAAATGGCAACAATGGGCCATAAGGCCCCTTAAAATTTATCGGAGGCCTTTAAAAAGGCCAGAAACGAAAAGTACGCAAAAAAAATACATAAGAATCATGTGCTGGAAGAGTGATAACAGTCGAAAAAGTCGACGAAAATAATTGTTTTACGATTCCAGGATTTTGGGTTTGAGGCGCTGCTGCGCCCTTGCATGGGCTCCGTTCCGTCTAATATTTGGCACAGAGTCTACCTAAGACTAGTACTTTGAAAATATGAAACATTTAGCAAAATCCAGGTGGGGCCGGAAAAGGCCCAAAACGTTACTCCTCCTTTATGGATGAAGTAAGATTCTAAGTAAAAAAATTGACACAGAAAAACATAGGTTGATTTTTTTTTTCAAAATACAACTTTATACTGCAAAGGAGCTCTTCACGTCTTTTCTAGTTAAGTCTTCTGTCAAATCTAACTTTTTCTATTCATAATAATTGAAATTAAGAATGAAGTTTGGGGTAGTCAGGACTGATCCAAAGAAAAAACCCGTGATAGTGATGAAGATTGAGGAAAAAATAACCACTGGATTTACAAAATATAATATAATTGGGAAAATTAAAACAAACTACCGAGCAAAAAAAAGGAAAGGCAACAAAGGAGACAAAAAATCCTTGCAAAATTACCATTAATGTTAGTTAAAATGCATAAAATAGCAACTGTCAGCACTGATGTGCACAAGTGCTTAACTAAAGCTAGAGGCAAATATCCATGAAGAAAGGCAAATTTTGAAATGGGCACACTCCAACTGCCTAAGAATAATTACAGTTAACTGAGAATGGCTAAAGACACATCAAATGCTTAAAACCTGAACACGACTAGTTTTCTCTGCCACAGCTAGTGATTAAAAGGATAACAGCCTCTTAGCAAAGGAGCTTCGAAGCTGTAATGGTGAGTATGATGGGAAGAGACTGGAACTTCAGAGGACAGATGGGGCATTGATTTGCCTTTTGGATAACTCAGAGAGGGCTGAACATAAGATTCGCATGGTGCGCATGAGTGTTCTCTCTTTCTAATTTTCTACTCACACAGTGATAAAATCCAATAAAAATGTAAAGGGAATTTGAATCATGAAAACATATTATGTACAATTGAAGAGCAAAACGGAAGTTCTCGCAATATCATACTGTCTGATTCCTCTTTTCCATTAGATAAAAAAGGGGGGCCGGGGGCTTGACAAATTCTGATGCCCCTAGGGTTGGCGCCCCAGCAAGAGTCTCCTTTTGGTACCCCTTGCAATAGGCCTTCTGGTTAGGCCAAAAATGCAAAAGACAATGTACTTTGCAGTCTGCAACTAGTATGGAGCATTGATCATATGCCACCCAGTATTTTGTCTCCTGGAAACATATCATTACCAGTTGAATCAACAAGTATGGTGATGAACTAACACTCTAAGAGGTTCTCTCCTGGCTGTATTTTTAACTTAAAAATCAACATTGGCGCAGCACTGGTTTTATGCCTGACTGCAAGTACTTACAGGTGGAGAAGTGTTGCTTTCATTATCATCTGAGCTATCACTTAACGCGGCTTCGAACCATAGACTGAGCAGCTTTTGTAGAGTATTCACATGTTGATCCTTGTAAATCAATGCTATCAACTGTGCTATGGTGATACCCCAATTAGCGCATAGATCTTCATTCATCAGCTGGATCAGAACCTTCAGGAAAGATATTTATTGACAAATTACAAACCTCAGTGAATGGAAAGATTACTAAGAGATTAAAAATCACAGGATGTAATTTTAAAATAAATTAAGAAACAGGAAAGAAGATAGAGACTTTGTAGAATTCAAGGCTTTGGCATGGATTGCATATTCTGCTTACTCTTCACGACCACCCACAATACACCCATTTAAAGGCTGTGAAAATGTAGCATTTAGTTAATCTGCTAGAAAACGTGATTTGGTAAAAATACTTTTCGCGTGGTAAGTACAAGAAATGGAATTTGAATTTACTCCCGATTGCAGTCCAAGCCAGTTGATGCAGTTTTTTGTTAATGTTTTGTTTCTATGATAATTTTATGTATTTCATAAAAGGGTAGATATAGAACAATGCGATTTTCTCTAGCTATTAAAACAAAGTTTGACCAAGAAACTGAAAGTTGGACTACTCTGAGCACATTATTTAAGATATTGGAATATGTTTAACAGAATCTTGTGGCTTATTTTATCAGCTTCCTAACGAGCCCTTGTTGAGCTCATTTAGAAGAATAAGAAGAATAGTGTCCAACCGCCCCAGCTGTTGGCCATAGCTTGTTATGCTTACATTTCAAAGCGAACGGTTGGACTATTGCTGTAACGCACAGGGGACAAAATCTAGGATAAGAGAAATTGGATGGAAGCAGAGGACCGCTAATGCTGTTTCCTTCTGCATGGGAAATTCAATAGGAAAAGTTTATCAATCCAGATCTGCTGTAGGAAAGGAATAGAAGCTGTGTCGCTTTCAGCAGTAACCGTTCCTATGTCTTGTGCTTGTTACCTGAACGACTGTTTGGACAGCTTTGGTTTCTTAATTTCAGATAAACCCACCTCAGGCCCAATTTTACACCCGGCTCCACCTATGCACCCCATGCTATGTACGATTGGTAACATGCCTGATGTATTCTTTTGGATACTGTGCATTCATGTCTCATTGTCTTAACATGATTAAACATTCTCGGTATTCTATGCAAGCAACCTCTATTACGCATTCCCTGTAGAATGCTGCTCTCTCCTGGGATCCTGATGCTGGGGCATAACATCCAAAACTCTCATAAAAGCAATTACACTTTTTACCAATGATTGTTATCATCTCAGGAGAAATACACTTGACACTTGTCACATTAAGTCCGTTTCGCATAACTACACTTACGCCTCTACATGACCGCTGTTCTGCTGGTCTACCGCTGTTGTGCCAGATATACTTTTCGTTGTGGAAGGTCGAATTGATTAGGTGGGTTACTTGTAGCACTGCAGCAGTGCAACATCTGTCTGGAACCTGTCGAGTGTCTTTTCTATCCTTTCTTGTTGCGATTTGTCATTACAGGAACTGACATTCCACAAGGCTATACATATTTCTGTATTTTCTGGTGTGTTTGAGGTTGTTATTGTAAAGTTATACTTTCTGCTCTGATATCATATCTTGGCTGGGGTTCCGTTAGTGGAGGGACAGAAGAGTGTGCTTCAGTGGGTATGCTAACTGAGTTATCTTTGGATTTCTTTCTACCACTGCTCTGTGGAGGCATGATATGATGTTACTTTCTCTTCCTCCTTGGTTGTATGAAAGGTGGCTCGTTGTGTTTGTCTGGCATTCCTTGGATTACATCGAGTGATCTGAGTCTGGTGTTACTGACTGTTGGAAACCACTCAGTGATCCTGTCATAGTGGTTTAAACTTCCATCTGTTCCACAACGATGACAGATTCTTAATGTCGGGTTTTTAGATCCTATTTTGTAGTCAGGCCCTCTTTCATTTAACATATGACCTTGGCACAAAAGCAATTGGCAAAAGGCCTGAATAGTTTCCGATCCACCATAGCAATTAGCAACATGGCCTAGCCTTTGAATGAAAATTATTAGAGAAAATTATCTAAATTAGGAATGAGATTAAATAAGAAGGAGGAAAATACAGCAAAAAGAAGGAAATGGAGGAGAAAAAAAGAACCCAATCAGCACAATTTCTTGATGCAATGTTGTTACTTTGTTGACATATGTTGACGTAATGTTACTCATACGGATATAATGCTGTATCTAGATCAGATGCGTTCCTAAACCCTCAACTCTGCTCTCCAGAGAATCGTCGGCCGGAAAACTCGGTGGATTACCCAGTGACTGACGTCAGCTATCCGCGTTGTCGTCGTTGTCTGCATTTGTTTACATTTGATTTCAAATACCTGAAGTTGACAAAATCTTCCATATTTCTCAATTTCCAAAACTTTCATAACAATAAGTGAACAGCAGGCCCAAAATTTGATCATGTTGCCTGAGATGAAGACCAGAAAAAGTCGCGAAGTGAAGAGGAATAAGGCTAACCTCACTTCTACGTCACTCTCTGGTAGTCTCCGACCTCTAGAGATCAGAGAGATGGGGAGCTATTCAAAGACTGATGTAGCCTGTTCTCATGTATGTATGAATGTAACAATACAATAATTCTTCGTTACCCGCAGACGTAAACAACCAATGTTGGACTTAAGGATGAATCACCCATAAACCGCAAAGAATACCGATTTTAAGCCTTTTTTGCCAAATTTGGCAACTTTCAGACAATTATTTTGGGACAAAAAGTTGGCAAAAAAAGTGAAAAAAAATGCCCAAGTGAAGAGAATGCCAAGGAAAGGGCAACAGTGGGTTTTAAATGGAATGAGGGAGTGCCCACTCTCTGAGGAACTGAGGAAAGATAAGGTGCTGAGGCAGTCAGGCGTCGTAGAGCGCTGTAAAAGTGGTTCTCATGTATGTATGTGTGTACGTTACAATGAAATAATTTTTCTTCACTCTGTGTCATTATCTCTGGTCTTCAAGAAGTGGTGTCGGCTAAAAAAGCCAATGCAAAAATTACCATACCTCGCAAACAAAAAGTTTCCGTGCAAGCAATAATTTATCAATGGATGCAGAATCAAATGAACTATCTGTTAGACAACTTTTTAATCAAATTAGAAATGTATTTTAAAATAATTGCGGATTAGTGAAAATTGAAGAATTAAAAAATCGAAAAATTGGCAACACTGCATGTTAAAATTAATAGGAAATTTAAAACAAGAATACTTCTTTAAACTGCACGTTTATTAAAAAATAATCGTTCAATCTGCGACTTCATGGCTCAATTTTAGTACCACCCATGGAATTGTCACGTTTTCAACTTGTCAATGCTATAGCACGTGGGGCAAATTTTTCTTGAACTTTCTGTTGCCGGAAAAAGACGTGTCTTGTGACAAGGAACAACAAATCTAACTCCAAGCAAAATCCATGAGGGGGAGAGGGAGGGGAGGGGGGAAACTGATGATTTTGAATAACTCATTATGATACGCATATAATTTCAGGGTGTCTACGAGATTTTCAAAATGAAATTCCCTGACAATTCGAGGTTTTCCATGACAAAAATGACAAAATTCCCTGACTTTTTGGGTTTAGCCATACGATGAACTAGTTAGAAAATATTCAAAAAAAACTATCCTTGGGAGTGACCCTGTAAAGTCATATTCTGAATCACCATGGCGTTGGAAGGAGTTGAGTAATACTTTTGAAAGGAACGAGATCCTAAATACTCGAAATAAAGCTAATTCCAAAATAGTATACTCAGACTAAAATTCACCTTCAAAGGACTACGTGCAAAACGGGCCATTTGGGGCTCGAGGCAGATACCATTGAGACTTGCCCTATTCATCCACCTAACAATGCCCAATCTTTTCCCAAAGTTTCAAGCCCCCCAAAAATTTTGGGGAGACTCGGCGGGGGGTCAAAGTTAAAAACCGGCAAAATTTTCGCGAATTTATTACTCAAAAACCAAGAAGTTTTGGAAAACGCGGTTTAAACGAGCGTATTCAGCGTGACGAGAGCTTTCAGAAAATGTATAACATCATAGGGTTTTGTCAACTTCAGCTCGAGTTATCGCCTCCGAAGCGCCGGAACGCTCAAAAAAGACCCCTTATTTTTTCACGTTTGGGCCGATTTAAAAAAAAGCCATTTTTTTATTTTGATGAAAAACTGATATGTTGTTCCTGACTCTCTGTAGCCCCTCTAGCTCTTTACCGCATGCTGGGGAAATGTTTTGGTCGCGAGTTATAAGAGCGGAAAGGAGCGAATATCGGGAAAATCGGCTATTTTAAACTGCGCGCGGCGACGGATCAAGAGACATGTGGTAACAATGCGAGGTCGGCAGAGGAGTATGATTCGGCGAACTGAGTGGGAGGGGACGTTTTCCCTTCGATCAACGCCGCGCGGGCAGTTTAAAATAGCCGATTTTCCCCACATTCGCTCCTTTCCGCTCTTATAACTCGCGACCAAAACATTTCCCCAGCATGCGGTAAAGAGCTAGAGGGGCTACAGAGAGTCAGGAACAACATATCAGTTTTTCATCAAAATAAAAAAATGGCTTTTTTTTAAATCGGCCCAAACGTGAAAAAATAAGGGGTCTTTTTTGAGCGTTCCGGCGCTTCGGAGGCGATAACTCGAGCTGAAGTTGACAAAACCCTATGATGTTATACATTTTCTGAAAGCTCTCGTCACGCTGAATACGCTCGTTTAAACCGCGTTTTCCAAAACTTCTTGGTTTTTGAGTAATAAATTCGCGAAAATTTTGCCGGTTTTTAACTTTGACCCCCCGCCGAGTCTCCCCAAAATTTTTGGGGGCTTGAAACTTTGGGAAAAGATTGGGCATTGTTAGGTGAATGTATAGGGCAAGTCTCAAAGGTATCCGCCCCGAGCCCCAAATGGCCCGTTTTGCACGTAGTCCTTTAATTTTTAAGCTCTACTACGCTCTCTTTGTGACTTATTGCCCCGTATACTTTTGAAAATTCAAACTATAGTTCACCCTGGTGGTTTCATAAATATTGGCATATTACTTAGTGCCCAGAAAATACAAGTGTCTATTTCTTAAAATATAAAACAAGAGTTGTAAATGTGCCTAACTCAGGTAGATTTTGCTATAATCAAGAGGAAATACGAGTCTCTTCTCAATTTTAGATAAATTTGCTTGATTCGTTTTTTTTTTTAAGGTCAATTAGTTCAATGGATTCCAGAGCCTATTGTTGGTATTGAATTTGTCTTATACTCAACAAGCGTTGGCTTGTTAGAATATAATCCACCAATAATATTTGTACAAGGTGGATGCACCAGTTGTGAACATGTTGATTTAAGAACCAGAAAAATTTTATGCAAAATGCAGTTGACATTAAATATTTCTTTACTCAGTTAAAGAAAAACTAAAATTCTAGCACTTTCATTAAATTTCCTAACTTATTGAAAAAATTGATTAACCATCTGCTCATAACTGGGGCACTTAGTTTCCTATTATTATTTACTGTAATTTTCTGCTGTTAGCAAGTTAACTTCATTCAAGTCTATTTAGTCTATCTTGCCATTTGGCATGAATTAAGTAGATAAATTAAATAGGGCAGATCGATTCGATCTTTAAAGTTAGCGAACACACATTAGTGAACCTAGCGGCCGTGTTGCAAACTGGTTGAACAGAGCAGTTTACATTATCAGCCACGCGAGCGCGCTACTCGGCCAATTCGACAGTGATGAGCTAAAATAGCCGCGAAATGTTCGAATTGCGAAAATTCCCTGACTTTCACCGTTTTTCGATCGAATTCCCTGACTTTTCCCGGTTTTCCAGACAGTGATCAAATTCCCTGATTTTTCCCGGTTTTCTAGACCTGCAGACACCCTAAATTTCAAGCATCTTCGATGTCAGAGGATTTTTTTGTTTCTAGTTCTCACAATGTTCAAAGAGTGATGAACCATAATTTTTGTCTAAAAACTTCAACAACTAAACTTTTATTTATTTAACATTGTGAAACTGCAACCCAATATTGAGATACCCAGGGCCATATCAAAGCTACTATGCTGTGAGCCTGGATATCACAATATTGAGTTGCAGTGGAGACTAATGTAGCAAGACTACTGTCTCTAGGGGCATGGCGAACAATCAGGCTTGCTGACCACTTACAATCACCGTGAATCACAAACATTTTAATGTTTTCAACAGTTAGAACAATCGATCATTTGAGATAGACAACTTTGGCTTCTGTGTTCTCAACAGCTAATTTCTGCAATAAACGAGGAGCCACCCAAAAAAACCAGAATTTCGCTGTAACTTGGCAACGATGGAAAATATTCGGGTTCCACCGCTAGAAGATGTAACTAGGAGCTATAAAGAGTCACTAGGCCAAATTTCAACATCGTAACATATTTTCTTTTATTTTGGCGAGACTTCGTTTAAGATGTTGTCTGGCGAGTTCGTCGTTTTTGAAGATGGGTCAATTTCAGTAACAAAACTTAGCGCTCAATATTTTCTCTCTTACTCCATAAAATCACAAAATTGCCTTGCATCAAGTAATGAAAAAAACAGCATTTTTGTGAAAGGGGTTGGTTACAGATCATATAATTAACTAGCAGATATCATTTCAATGTAATACAGAAATAATTAAAACATTGCTGTGGAAAATTTGGGCCTAAAACGCGTTGTTGCCACATTGGTCCCCTTTTGAGCGTTCCAGGCGGTGACTGCCGCTGGGCGTCCAGCCGAGGTTCGAACAATAAATCACACTCTACAACGAAGAAAGACATTCAACCACTTATGTCATGAGTGAATCATGTTCCCTGCAAGATTCACTTTAAAAATTGACAGAGTTAGCCGCGCATTGCCCGTGAAAATCGCCCATCTTCAAAAACGACGAACTCGCCAGACAACCCTGTAAACCAAGTCTCGCCAAAGTAAAAGAAAATTTTGCTATGACGTTAAAATTTGGCCTAGTGACTCTTCATGGCTTCTGGTTACACCTTTTAGCGGTAGAACCCGGATATTTTCCACCTTTGCCAAGTTACAGCAAAATTCCAGGTTTTTTTTGGGTTCCTCCTCGTACAAGACTTATTATTTCTTGGATAAGCTTTTTACGTATCTAGGTGGACAGTACTAGACCAACCCAATTGCCAGGAATTTGAAGATCAAAACTACAATAGTTAGGTACAATCGACATGGTCTCTGTCCATACCTTCATAAAATACATAAAATTATAATCAAGTAAAGGGTCCTTTTTGTTTATTTTTAAGGCTTCAGAGGAGATTAAAATTTTTATAATTTAAGTAAGGAAGGAGAAGAAAATATTCTGTTTAAAATTCATACAGGGTGTACCAAAATTCCGTCCCACCCCTGCTAACTTATGAACGAATTGAGCTAGGGTAATGAAACTTTGGGAATGTTCCTATCTCAAAGGGGACCATCTTTTGGGGGGGTCAAAATTTTGGTCCCCCCTCAGGGGGGGCGCGGGGGGCCCCCAACTTTTTTTTTCAAATGGCAACCCCTCTCTTGTGATACCTCATTTGAAAGAGCATAAAAAACTAAGAATTTTGGCGCAAACCGCAGATCAATATCTTAATTTTTGACCGAGTTATGATAGGTCAAAGGTCAAATTTGACCTGTTTTCAAAAAATCATAACTCCGGTTCAAATTATCGTAAAGAAGAAAATAAAACGGGAAAATTTACCAAATTGTGTCCGCTTTTAAGTAAAAATTGCAGAAATCACTTCGATTTAATTTTAAGGGGGGGCTCGGACCCCCAAATACGTCAATTCAAAGGTCATTCAATTTTCCCGCGAAATAAGCCAATTTCTCCTAGATTTGCCTCCACATTATCTCAGTAAGGTCAAAATCAGTTCACTATTACGTTGGCAAGTCCCCAAATTTCCGGAAAAGTTAAAAAAAAAACGAAATTTAAACGGTCAAATTTAATCACCTTAAATTTCGTTTTTTTTAACCTTTTCCGAAATTTGGGGACTTGCCAACGTAATAGTGAACTGATTTTGACCTTACTGAGATAATGTGGAGGCAAATCTAGGAGAAATTGGCTTATTTCGCGGGAAAATTGAATGACCTTTGAATTGACGTATTTAGGGGTCCAAGCCCCCCTTAAAATTAAATCGAAGTGATTTCTGCAATTTTTACTTAAAAGCGGACACAATTTGGTAAATTTTTCCGTTTTATTTACTTCTTTACGATAATTTGAACCGGAGTTATGATTTTTTGAAAACAGGTCAAATTTGACCTTTGACCTGTCATAACTCGGTCAAAAATTAAGATATTGATCTGCGGTTTGCGCCAAAATTCTTAGTTTTTTATGCTCTTTCAAATGAGGTATCACAAGATAGGGGTTGCCATTTGAAAAAAAAAGTTGGGGGCCCCCCGCGCCCCCCCTGAGGGGAGATCAAAATTTTGACCCCCCCCAAAAGATGGTCCCCGTTGAGATAGGAAGATTCCCAAAGTTTCATTACCCTATCTCAATTCGTTCAAAAGTTAGCGGGGGTGGGACGGACTTTTGGTACACCCTGTATGAAATTATCTTTCAGAATTTATGGAGAGGGGGGGGGGGGGGGGGGGGGGGGTGTTAAAAATAAAAAAAAATACACAAAATTGCGTTCCGTAACCAACGAAATAAGCTGTAACATGAGTTACAATACCTTGTCAATATTTTGGGTGAACAAATTCCATATGATTTGATTTTGAAGAGACAATGAGAATACTCCTCTTGTTTCAGGTATATGAAGGATGTTACGTAGAAGTAACAGGCACGTGTTGATGTGCTCACACTCCATTTTGTCCAACTGGGGAACCTGGAAAATTAAAAATGACCTCTAAAATATGGAAACTTTAATACTAGCAGATGCTGCAATTACTAAAGGCCTTGAGGAAACGCTGGGTCTTCAAAATATTATTTAAAATAATCAACATATAAACATAAATTCATTAAAGAATTTCAGGCCAAGCCAAGGGGACTTGAACACGGAGACTAGTAATGGCTGACATCTTGCTGAATTCGTAGTTCAGGAAGGCCTAAGTTTCCTCTTACGAAACAACTGAGCCTTTATTTTGCCGCACTTGTGCAGGGGCCCTTGAAGTCCAAAAAGAAATTTTTTTCCCCGAAAAGTTGGTAAATTACTGAAAAAGCTACATGATCTTCCTCCTCTTTGTAATTTTAATAGCCAATTGTATAACAACGGTGGATAATTATACAAAGTACACTCCTCCAAGTCTTTTTTAAAGATATTATCTTTGTTCTTGTAGGGGACGATTCTTCTCTTGACATTGGGATCTCATTACTTCTTGACCCTTTTATCAGGTCAGGGTTGTAATTAACCCTCTACTCTACCTTTAAGCAACGTTTCCTAATGAGAGATTTTTCTGTTTTCCTATTAATTTGTTCAGTATGAAGTTGGGGTGAAAATTAAAAAATTGAAAGAGGTGCAGGAAATTTCAAGGTTTTTCAATACAAGACATAGCAGTTGTACTGATAGTTCTAATAATATCTAAACAAAATGAAAAAAGAATGTATTATTTTTCACTTTCCTTTCTTCTCTTTGGTTTGAGTTTTTTTACCTTTTCATCATCTAAGGATTAAAGAGCTTGATGCACAAACGGTTTTTTCGCCCCCCCCCCTCTGGAATTTCTTCAGACTTTGTCTATTGAATACTCATACTTGAGCGCTTCTTTCCCCAAATTTTCAGACCCCCAAAAAATTTTGGGGGGGAGCTAGGGGGGGTGGAAGTCAAAACCCGTGAACCTCGATATCTCTCGAACGAAGAAAGATATCGAGGTCCGGTTTGGACGAAAAATTGTCTAAAATTGCATACTTTCAGATTCTAAAGGTCGAAATCTCGATATCACATTTTTAAGTCAACATATGTGCTTTTTGCCAGTTTTTAGGTCTAGAAAATTTCTTTTAAACGAAAAATTTACGAAGATCTCAATTTTTTATTAGAACCAAAACAAGTTTTTAAATTGTTCGTCTTTTTCCGCATCCAACGAGTGGTCCATTAAGCTGCGGAACCAAACGGTTCCGGAGTTATGATCGATTGAAGTTTCCGCTCAACGCGCGCCGACCGATTTTCGCGCGCAAAAAAGTCGAATTTGACTGTTATTGAATCAGATTGAATGTTCAAACTGAGCAAAATGCATTATCAGGGACTCTTGAGGATCGCTGAGTTCAGAAATTACAGATACCTCCAAAAAATTCACGTTTTTAAAATTACAGCTCCGCACAGGACCACTGGGCGGCCGGTCGGCACACAGTGGGCCTCTAAAATAGCGCTGTGGAGCTGTAATTTTTAATATGTGAATTATTTGGAAGTATCTGTAATTTCTGAACTCAGCGACCCTCAAGAGTCCCTGCTAATGCATTTTGCTCAGTTTGAACATTCAATCTGATCTAATAACAGTCAAATCCGACTTTTTTGCGCGCGAAAATCGGTCGGCGCGAGTTAAGCGGAAACTTCAATCGATCATGATTCCGGAACCGTTTGGTTCCGCTGCTTGATAGACCACTCATTGGATGCGGAAAAAGACGAACAATTTAAAAAACTGGTTTTGGTTCAAATAAAAAATTGAGATCTTTGTAAATTTTTCGTTTAAAAGAAATTTTCTAGACCTAAAAACTGGCAAAAAGCACATATGTTGACTTAAAAATGTGATATCGAGATTTCGACCTTTAGAATCTGAAAGTATGCAATTTTAGACAATTTTTCGTCCAAACCGGACCTTGATATCTTTCTTCGTTCGAGAGATATCGAGGTTCACAGGTTGTGACTTCCACCCCCCCCTAGCTCCCCCCCCCAAAATTTTTTGGGGGTCTGAAAATTTGGGAAAAGAAGCGATCAAGTATGAGTAATCAATAGTCAAAGCCTGAAGAAATTCCAGGGGGGGGGGGGGAAGCCGTCTTTGCATCAAGCTCTTTACAAACTTAGTACAAACAAGTGACATAATAAAGATTCTTCATTAAATAATATTCCCAAAAAAATAGATATCTCAAGGAAAAAGGTAAGTAACTTAATCCTAGATTTGCAGAATGAAGGAATTTAGGTTCAATTAATATTTGATTATGATAAAAAAAATTATTTCAAATTACAATGAAAGTTTATTTAATCGTACAGTTTTATTAAGAACACATGCGTACACACAACGCATGCAAGAAAAGCAAAGCGTGACTTAACCTTACAGAATTTGCGCTAAGGTGCGTCAGCCAACTTTTTATTCATTTGTTCATGAACTACGAACCTTTGCAAGCAAATGTTCGAGAAAAAACTTCATCAACATTACAACATGGCACATGCACAATACGGGAGGTTTAAAGAGTTGTTGACATGTTTAGTACAATTAATGTCCTGCTAGAGGCGAGCAACAAATTTACTGTAGAAACGGCACCACTAACCATAGGGTTTCTCATAGGTTGCTATTGGTTAGTCAATGACTTATCTAATTCGATCATTGCAACCACCCGGAATCCCATCATATAATCGCTCCATTTTTCATTTATCTTCTTTGTCTATCACTATTTCTATCGATTTCAATAAATGAACAATCAAAACCACACGTGAGGAAGGTAAGTCAGAGTTAGTGAGATAGTTTTTTATTTACACAGAAGCAAACCTGATTGTCAGTGACCCACAAAAAAGTGCCCATGGGTGCTCTGTTTGAATTTGAAAATGCATGGTACAGAAAAAATAAATTTCGTGTCAAGGAATTGGACTGCATTTGAAAAAAAGGAATAACTATTTTTGGCTCATTTATAAAAGCACCTAAAGAAAGTGCTCGAAAAGTCCCTTCCCCATCTAACTTTTTACCTAATTGAGGCAGAGATTTGAAACTTTAAGGACATTCCTGGCCCAAAGGGCACTACTTTTTGACACCCCTAAAATTTTCAGGGGCCTACTTGGGGGAAGGGGGAACAGATCCCATCTTTTTATTTTCAAATAATAAGACCCCTCTTGTGATACCGTGTTCTAAAAAGCATAAAAAAAGAAAACTTTCCACGCACACCTGAAGTCAATATCTTAAACTAATTCAAAATGGCGGCCGGTTACAGTTCAAGGTGGCTGAAAATTGAAACCGGTTGTTCGTCGTGGATTCGCCCAAAATTCAGTATCCTCGTGTATTTAGACATATGAAAAACAAATTTGAGGTTCGATTTTCAAAAAACCGAAATTAAAAATGCGGCCGGTTGAAGTTCAACATGGCCGAAAGTTGGCATCTTGGTTTAACAAATTGGAAATTTGATTTCTAAAAATACAATTTTCGGCCATTTTGAAATTAAACCAGTCACCATTTCGGGAATTTTGATTTTTTTGAAAAGTTAACGTCAAATTCGTTTTTTAGGGTTAAAACACCCTCCAATGCCGAGTTTCAGGCAAATTCATCGACAAAAAACCTGGGTTCCAATTATCAGCCATTTTAAACTTTAACCGGCCACCATATTAAACTTTAACCAGCCGCCATTTCGAAACGGTTGGAGGTATTGACTTCGGATTTGCGCGAAAAGTTTTCTTTTCTTATGTTCTTTCGAACGAGGTATCACAAGAGGGGTCTTCCCATTCGAAAATAAAAATTTCAGAAGCACTACCTCCCAAGGGCCCTAGGGTAGAGGGTTTTTCCACTTTGTCGGAATCGCGAAACGGGTCGGGCGGAAAAGTTGCTCCTCAGAAAACTTTTGGACCCGTGTTTTTTCTATTTCAAAAATTTTGGATCCATCCATTGCCCCCGAGCCCTCACAGTTTCGATTTTTTCGGAGAATCGTGTTTTTTCATCAAAAATCTCGATATTGAAGCATCTGTGTGGTAAAGATGACCGAATAATACAGTAGCATAGTACCACTAAGACTTATAGAGCTTAATTTGAGAGGCACATTGTTGCCAACTTTAAAAAATTTACGGAAATAACACCATTTCTGGTAATTTTCGAAAATCTTCGAAAATTCGGTGCTCTATCAGAAAAACAGCCAAACGGAGAAGTATGACCTCGGCGTAACACTTTTCAGACGTTTTTTGCACGGAGACTTCGTTTTTGTATGCAAATTTTCAAAAAATTACTTCTAAGACCGTCAAGGTAAGGAAAATACGGGGAAAATTGTGTTTTTCTCATGAAAACTTGCACTCAGACTGCCGGCAATCGATCTGAATACCACATTCATTTACATAGCCTTTAGCTCAACTCTCCAAGTTCTAAGAAAAATCGAAAAATAGACATTTGGAGAAATGTAACAATGTTAAATTCTTGCGGTATAATAATGTAGATAGAGCTCATCACAAGGAACTGGTTGTGTGTAGAGTTCCATTTGTTTAATTCGGTACTCAATTTTTGCCGCTCGTGCATGGTTGATTGGTTGGATTAACTGTGAACTGGCATTTTGTGTTGAATGCTAGCATCAATCTTCTTGATTCAAGCTCGGAGAAGTATGCATCAGCTATTGCCAATTTTAATAGGGCAATTTAATTTTTTACATGAAAACAGTTGTGCTAATTTTTGTGCAAAGTTCGGTGAATTTTCTGCACAGTGCGAATTAAATTCCTCAAAATTTTCAAAGGAATCCGCACAAACGTTCTCTTGTAAAAAATTGAATTGTCCGGTTAATTTTTGCAATAGCTGATATGGCTTTGTTCCTTTCTGCTAGACACGGTCCAATTATATTATGCTCAATGCGAATTTACCGATCACAAACTTTTTCAGTTGACTGTACCTCGCGCACTGTTGCCAGAGAGAACAGATATAACATTACTTTCCCCTGTTGAAATCTAAGTAAAATATCCCCAATTTAATTGCACAACCTGGCAACCTTGTCTTGCAGGAAACATACCCACTAGAAGATAGAAATTTAACCTTAACTAGATATTATTGACTAAAGAAAATTACTGGAGATTCATACTAAAGTAGTTTTATGGGTGGTATGTACTTTTTCCAAGATTTCTTGCATGAAATCAACTACACTGCGTGTGGAATGCTTATCCACAAATGATTCCTTGGCTGCATGGAGGAGCCAGTTCAACTCGTAAACAACGGTGCTTCCGGCCGGTGATTTGGTCATGGTGGCAGGGCATAGGAGACATTCCACTGGTAATGTTAAATTCACTAAGATCCTAGAAAAACGTCAAACCATTAATGTGCAATTGATTTAAGAATAATTAAGTTCAAACAAAAACCAATCAAGGGGAAATGTACGATTTCCTTCCGAAAATTATTTAAAAATTTTCTAATACAGCCTACAGATTGTGATCATAACTAGATCATTGATCGCTTCTTTGCAAAATGTAAACATTCCTTTTGGCCGCTGGGAGAAAAATTCTATTGGAGGCGAATAAATTATCTGAAGTGACATCTTTCCTTCTTGAAAATACATTTGGTTTTGTTATTCAATTTGGACACTGATTAATTATTTTCGTATGAAAAAGTTATCTCAAAATTATGTGTAGAGAATAAAAGAGGGTTGTTTAGTAAACTCCATGATTTTAAACTAATATTGATGGACAAATGACTATCTGTAAAAAGCATTGTGAAGCCACAACTTGTAGCCTTTTAGCATGTTAAGGAACTTTGATCCGGCGGAGCTCTCGGAGAAAGGAGTTTTTTTTTTAGGTTCCACCCAGGTCCAAAATTGTGCAGAGTGTATTTTGTGACATGGGTTGCTGCATTCAATACATATCACGAATGTGTGAGATTGGGACAAGTGAACTTAATGAAGAAAGTATTCAAGCACGTTTTGCGACTGAAATATTTGCACAGAGGAGAGAAATCAAAAGGTTTCCTAACTCGGATATTTTAACAGTTTTTATTGAGTTTTCTCTTCAAAAAGTTTTTTAACTTTTTTTCTTTTAAGTATAGCGAAGTAAACACAGTAAAGATGGAAATGTACGATGTATGGGCAGTATTATTCAAACATTTCCGACAGCTTAGCAATAGATAAGACGATCGATTTTCCAAACAATTGTAGGGGAAATAACCAGATTGTAACAAAATGAGGTACTTTAAAGTAAGTTAGAGAGATTTCCTGAGACTCAAGGATGTTCGAAGACTTACCAAGGAATAACAAACCCCTAAAGATCCTAAAAAAAAAATGATGAAATCATGAAACAAGGACTTACTTGATAGTTAGAGCTAGTATTTCCTTATCTTTAGAGTTTGTGAGCAGCGGCAATAGATCCTGAGAAAGAAATTGCAAAAAATTATGCAAGTCATCTATAGGTATCAGTATTAGTTACTAAAGAAGGAAGTTAAAATCAAGACCAATCCACCGACACAGCCAATCACAATCAGTCAGTCACAGCACATTTTTCACAGATCCTACCTCTGCTGAACCAAAATTTTGATAACAGAGATGACTCATTGTCAGTTTGATATAGACTACATTGTGCAAAAAGGAACTACTATTTTTGGCTCTATATAAAAGTACCTACATGAATAAGGGAAACAAGGATGCACTGTCAACAATATGGATGTTGATTTTACAGACCTAGGATGTTAAAAATCTGCGCAACAACCCTCGCTGCTGAGTTGATAGCCAGGCAGGACGTTCAGTTTACATCCTCTTATCTGTTGAGAGAGCAAGCCACAATGGTACAAGTCAATTTACATTGTTACTTACAATTAAATCCGCAGCATCCAAGTTTGAATTTGAACCCATGCCTCCGGCTGAGCAATGAATTTGGAGACCAGCACTCTACCATTCGACTAAGGAGTCTTGCTGATGGACAACAAAGAAATTCGACTTGTCAAAGCAAACCTACTTTCATAATCTGTACAAAGTCTGTTTATCAACGGATTCTTACGAAATTTGATATTTTGAGTCAAGTCGACACAAGAAATACGAATTTGGGGTGATTTTTTTTTAAATTGATAAATTCAAGGTGATGGAATATTGATGCCGGCTATAATGCGTAAAATTATTTCTTAATCAACGGAATCTGATGAAAATTGGTATTTAAGGGTATTTTGACTCTGGAAATTCAAATTTAACGATATTACTTCGCTATTACTAATGCCAAGGAGACAGAATGAGAATGAATGGTAGGGTGCCCCACTTCAAGGGTCACCTCCAAATTTTAATGATGGTATCCTCCAAGTTGTTGACCCCACTTACAGGGTGCCGACTGTAACAGGCTGGCCAAAAATCAGTACTTTTGCAGTAGGAGATGTTAAGACTACTTGTTAAGATCCATGATGGTGGAATGACGAGGGTGATTGCAATTCGTAGAATAACTGCTTGGATTATTTTTTTTTTCATTTTTTTTTCAGAAATCTGGGTGCACTGGGTAATGAGCCGACAACTTTGAATTGGACGTTGATACACTGCTGTCTCTTAATCCAAAATGGTGGGGTAATCATGGTGGCTGTAGTAAGTGTCAATTGGTGTGATAAGTGTCTGTTTACGATGGATTCTCACGAAAATTGGTAATTGGACGTATTTTGAACCGATTACTTCGAATTAGGCATTAATTTTTGCTCGTTATAAGTAAATCCGAGATAATGAATATTATGTGACGATTGTTTTTCGTATAATGGCTTTTTAATGACGGATTTTCACAAAATGTAGTCTCAGGGGAAACGTGGCTCAAGAAACCCGAATGAAACGTCATTTTTTTGCCATTTTAATATCCAAGATGGCTGAAAACTTGACGTGGCTGGAGGTCTTAAAATTGCTGCAAACTGCCAAAAGTTCTTGAAAATCCTTCTGCTGACGCGAAATAAGCAGGAAAGTTGACTGCAAAAAGTGCTGATCTAGCAGCAGTATTTTATGTTCGAAGAAGTCAACGGGTGAACAAGGGTTGAAAGCAACAAAGAAAGAACTGGAAAACAAGTGAGAGAGGGGTTATCTCCGATTGCCTTTTTTAACGCTGACCTCCATAATATGTGGCGCTGGGTAAGAATAACCACAAGGAGGACCACTGAGCTACGGGACACAGCGCACGCTGCCACTACCACTACCAGCACTTTTTGGCAGAGAAGTGGTGGAACCACGCCAGGATAATAGGTTGTAAATTTTACATCCTGCACTGTGTCAAATCAATGTCGCAAGCAATAGTTCAATGCCTTTTTGATGTGGAGGCATCTGTCAGAGAATGTAATCAACATTCGCAAGGATGATTCTGGGACTTTCACCCACAGACTTGTCACCCACGGTATAATTCGGCCACACTTTTTGACCCACATTATTTAGACCCCCTTGCACTTTTGTGCACGTGACTTTTCACTTCAATGATTTTACGGAGCAAGATTCTTAACTCATGGTTGTCATGGAGGAAAGGCAACTATTTCATAATGCTATTGCAAGGAACAGCTGATGTAATTTAAGTGAGATTTTATATTTTTCAGGGGGTTAACCTTAATCAAAATTCGGTTTGAAATTCTGTTCTAAATTCTTTTGAAGAAGAAGCTTCTTGCAAGACAGCCATCCTTCAGATCAAAGCATATTTTGTCCAAAACAGTTTCACCGTTGCTTCCTCTTTGACAATCATTAGTGATTATGAAAAGTCTAATCAATGCTCATCAGGGTGTTTTTGATTCTGCTGATACTAGACTCTGTTTTTTTCACCTTGCCCAGTCTTTGAACAGGAGAATTCAAGAGGAGGGTTTGCAAGCGCAGTACCGAAATGAAGAAGATAGATCGATAAAATTGGATTGCATTCAATCTTGGGATTGGCTTTTGTTCTAGTCGGAGATGTTGAACAGGCTTTTGATGTATTACTTGAAAACATTGCAGAAGATCTCATTAAAACCTGTGATTATTTTGAACGGAATTATGTTCGCAGAGTCAAAGCGCAAGGTCGCCGTCGAGGAGTCGCACCTTGATATCCAACTAAGCTTTGGAATCAACACCAAGCAACCCTTTTGGGTGGACCCAGAACGAATAATGCCTCTGAGGGGTGGAACCTGCGTCTTAACGTAGTTGTTGGCAAGCACCACTCCACATTTTTCCACCTTCTGCGAGAGCTTGTCTCTGAACATAGTAATGTGGAGAGTGTGTTCAAAGACTTGAATTTGGGTAAAAAAATTCGGCCCCCTCAAAAAAAAAGTACAAGAATAACAATGATCGTTTGAAGAAACTATGCGAGGCCTACAAATCATACAAAGCAGACAATGGGGAGGACGGTACAGAAGCAGGAAAAGGAGTGTTAAAATTCTTGAGAGCTACTAAATTTTGCATTTCCCTTTGAGTCAGGTAAGCGTTATATCACTGTTAATCACATTTATTTGATGAAAACGCTTGTAGGTAAAAAAGCACGAGGGTTAAAATGTTGTGGGCAAATATCTGTGGGCTAAAAATTCGTGGGTGGAAACGTGTGGATGAATAGTCTCTTGGGCGAACTATCTGTGTGTGAGTACCTAGTCCTGGCACTGCAAGGATATAAATTTTACAACCGCGCCAATGTTAGAGTTACGTTCAAGATATTGTTTTGACGTGCAGTTTCTCTTATGTTAACAGATTTGAGATGCTGATTTAACAGGCTACAGTGAATGTTGAATCAAACGTCTTTCAATGTTCGAACATTATACAAAATGTCAATACAACAGAGCTTACAGAATGTTGAATCGACAGGTTGGAAAAACGCTGTTTCAAAGTTCTTAAAATGTTTAAATAAAAGACAGGCTGATCAAAATAACGAAAAAACGAAGAGTGCTTTTAACATATAAAAGGACTGCAAAGTTTTCATATCCTTTTTCCCATGTTACACCTACTTCGTTTCTAAAATGAGGCACAAATAGTAGGTAGTTCTTTTTTACAAAATGTAGTCCATAAGTAAACAAACGTAGCCTCATCGTTAGATCAATTTAAACACAATATCTTTTCCTTTAAAAAATCATGAGCCAAAAAGGCAATTGCCAGAAGTGCAGAAAGTGCTCGATCAGCCAAACGAGGGAAAAATGTGGGAACAGAAGTCATTTCGACACAGACATCCCACAGTCAAAGGAACCATAAAACACTCACTTGCTTTTCGAGAAAAAACTACCTAAATACATTACTTTTGCAAAGGAAACTGAATAGCTCACTCTTTTCTGCAAATGAAGTTGTGAGGCGTGTTTTTTTATGAAAAGAAAATAGTGAAGTGCGCAATTTTATATGGACAGCAATGTGAAGGCTGCAAATGTAAAAGAAAAGTAGTTTTATGTAGACAGCAATGTGGAGGCAGCGTTTAAAATGAGGAGGCTGCCTCAAAAAACGTGGAGACAAAGAACTTTCTGCATTCCTGGTAACTGTAACATCAATTAGGATTTTACAACCTCAAATACCCCACTTTGAGCATCAAGTGTTCCTTATACAGGGTTATTCAAAAGTTACGCACCACTGGCCATAACTTTAGTTCTAATTATGATATCGATTTGCGGTTTGTGGCGTCCTTCCTCATATCGAGGGGGAAACTTTTTGAGGTACTTTTCAGTTCTTCATCCCCCCTCCCCCTGGGGGGATGAAGAACTGAAAAGTACCTCAAAAAGTTTCTCCCTCGATATGAGGAAGGACGCCACAAACCGCAAATCGATATCATAATTAGAACTAAAGTTACGGCCAGTGGTGCGTAACTTTTGAATAACCCTGTTTCTTTAAAATCAAAGAATCGAATCCCATTCATGTTACCTGTAGTTAACAAGCAACAATGCCACATTGAAATACTGTTGTGGGACCAGACCTTGCAGGTTTGGTGTCCACATTCAGCTCCGTAGATGAGGCATGCTTCGCGGCATGACTCTTCGTGAGAAATTGCGGAGGTCCAGGGTCAGTCCTATCGGACGGAGTTTCTCGAGGCGCATTTGTTTATGTCCGCGCGGAGAGCTTCCGTTTTTCGGAAGTTCAAGCATTGGCATAAAAGGATGTGATATCCACGTGGGCGAGATCAGTCATCTAGGAAAGATTCTAGAGCTAGATCCGGTTGGCCCCTGTGAGTGTTGCTATTCATTAGAGATTTATATAGAGATTTAGATATATATGTATTCATTGTGCTATTTCCATATTTGGTTGTGTTCTTCATTTGTGCCAGCATTCCCACCACAACATGTTGTAGGCGCCGTGTCATCTTGTGATATCGTAGGGATCCCGGTACCCCTTCGTTTTTGTTGTTCTTCTTAGTTATTTCCAAAGTTTTCCAAAGTCTCCCGCGTTTTCAAGTTCCAAAGTTTTTCATTTTTTCAAAATCACGCAGTTTTTATAAT